AGGTGTTTTGGATCCCTGAATACCCTCATTTGCTTGAACTGTGCATCTGTTCCACTAACTTCTGTCTGATATCAGTAGACTTTCCCACAAAAATCCTCCCCTTGTAGATTATTAGCCCATCCATGTAGTTGTACAATGACACATCCCAAAGCCTGAGTGTACTGTTAACAATGATTTCCTGAGCTTCTAGATCTGCCTCATAGCTCTGCACTATCTCTTGCACCCACAAAGGCTGCACTATGGTGATTTGATGGACCTCAGCTACCTCCTCCCTTCTAGATAGTGCATCTGCCACCCCATTCTCCTTTCATTTTTTATACTCAATAGTGTAGTTGAACCCCAATAGTTTAGCTAGGTACTTATGCTGCAAAGGGGTGGATAACTTCTGATTACAAAAGAGCCATATTAAGTAGGATTTCCATTTTTGCACAACAAGGAGTATGGCCAGAAATTCCTTCTCATAAATGGACAATCCTAAGCTCTTGGGACCCAAAGCTTTACTGAGATAGGCTAGATGGTGTCCATTTTGCATCAACACAACCCCAATCCCATGGTAAGAAGCATCAGTTTCTACCACAAATTTTTCCTTGAAGTTGGGCAATTGTAAAACTGGGGTAGTAGTCATAGCAAGCTTCAACTTTTCAAATGCCTTATGTACTTCCTCATTCCACTTAAACTGCCCCTTTTTGAGTTGCTGCGTGAGAGCCCGGGCTATCTCCCCATAGCCCTTGACAAACTTCATGTAGTATCATGCCAATCCTAGAAACCCTCTTAGTGCTTTTACTGATTGTGGTATAGGCCAATTGGTCACATCTTGTATCTTGGTAGGATCCACCCCCACTCCTTCATTAATTACATGCCCCAAATACTCTACCTGATTCTTCCCAAAGCCGCACTTTGATAATTTAGCATACAGCTGGTGTTGTCTTAACAGCGTGCACACAGTTTCTAAGTGTTCCATGTGTAGATCCATACTCTTACTGTATACTCAAATATCATCAAAGAAGACTAGCACAAAGTCTCTTAGATGTGCTTTGAACACATCATTCATTAATGACTGAAAATGTAGCTGGTGCATTGGTGAGTCCAAAGGGCATAACCTTGAACTCATAATTTCCAGCAGAAGTGACAAAAGCTGTCTTTTCTATATCCCTCTCCATTCTGATTTGATGATAGCCAGCTCTCAACTCCACCTTAGAGAACACCTTGGCCCCTCCCAGCTCATCTAATAAATCATCAATCAGTGGTATAGGGTATCCATCCTTTATGGTCATGGCATTGAGTCTCCTGAAGTCCACACAAAACCTCCAGGTGTCATATTTCTTTTTCGCCAATAACACTAGAGAAGCAAATGGGTTGCTGCTGGCTTGTATGACTCCAGTTTCCAGCATTTCCTTGACCATATTCTCTATCTCCTTTCTCTGCATGTAAGGATACCTGTAGGGCTGTGATTTTAAGGGAATTTCCCCTTCCTTGAGTGGAATAATGTGCTCAGTGTTTCTCATAGGAGGCAACTCAGTTGGTGTTTGGAAAAGGTCTGCATACTTCTCTATAATCTTATCCACTGCAGTGGAGTGTTTCTCAGTGGTGTGTGGCTTCTCTTCCTCATCTATGATGAAGAAACATCACATGTTGGCTCCATGTGTCTGCATTAAGTTTTCCAGCTCTTCTCTACTGATCATTGAGAACTGAGGATCCTCCTCTACTCCCTGTAGTTTGATCGCCTTCCCTCCTTCCCTTAAAGAGTAATGAAATTCTCATTATGATCAAAAGACAGGGGTCCAAACTTCTTCATGAAATCCACTCCCTAAACCAAGTCACACCCTCCCAAATCCAGAAGGTCACTCCTAAGTAGAAGTGGCACCGCCCCATTTCCCACTGGAAATTTGGACATATGGAATCACAAACTATCTGATGTTTTCCAGCCACATTCCATGTGGTTCTCCTAATACAAACTCTCTCACATCCAAGTTCCAAGGAAGACTTTGGATCTATGAAGCTGTGTGAGGCTCTGTCCTTTTCATTTGCCAAAGACCTTGAGGGATATCTGCATCATTTTCTCTACCTCAATGGTTATTTCATTCCTACTTCAGACAATTCGTCATCAGCCATGCACTCAATATAAAACAGCCTCTTAATTACATCCGTGGCCTGGAGTGAATTTTTCTTCACAATTATAGCACAATCCTTTGCTTCTTCTTTCTTCTAATTCTTGTTTGTTCAATCTCTTAGGCTGCATACCCCCCTTCTCAGGGTATTGGATCCTTAAAGGTTGTTCAGGAGCTAGCAACCTAGGAGCCTTATAATTGTGGTTAGGTACTTTCATAGAGCTCTTGAGCTCTGCCTTCAGTTGATCCACCATATTTTCCAGCAGTTTAGCTTGGATAATAGCATGGGATAAGGTTTGAGGGTTCATCATCTTCACTGTGTGCTTGAGCTCTCCCTTCAGTCCTTCCACAAAACACTTACAAAGTAGCTTTCTGGCAAGGCCCTGTGTTTTCTTGCCACATATCCCTTCAACTGCTCAAAACCTCAGCCTGTAATCCTCCACCTTAGTTTCTTGGTGCAGCTTGTTGAACTCTGAAGTTAAACTCACCCCTTCCTTCTCCAGAAATCACTCTAACACCATGCCAGAGAAAACCTCCCACCCCATGTATTCTATACCTTCTATATAATCAGCAAACCAGTCTTCAACCTTACCCTCAAGATTCATAGAGGCTGTCTGCACTTTCTCTCCTTCACTCATAGGGTTTAGTCTAAAATATCTTAGACACCTTCTTAGCCATGTCCTTGGAAACTGCCCATCAAACTTTGGAAAGTCCACCCTGATATTTCTATTATCCACATTTCTCATAGGGATATTAGGGTTACCTGGATCTGGTGGCATTTATTGAAACCTTGGAGCCTCTGTTCAGGATTCAGATTTGGTGCCATTTGGTGGTATCTGGGAGCCATCTGCTCAGGGTTTCTTGTGGGATTTTCAGAGCTATTCCCATGTTGCATAGGTTCCTTGTTGCATAGGTTCCTTGCCTCTGCTACTATTCATAGACCTAGTCATCTCAGCAAGCATCCTATGAATCTCCTCCATCTTCTGGTTGCTTTCCACTCTATTCCTCTCCATTTCCTCTCTAATTATTGAAAGATCTGCTTGGATTTTGGTGTTGAAGGCCATCTGCTCATCCACGAATACCTCTGCCTCAGTTCTTGTGTTGTCACTTGAGCCAGTCCTCACATTACTCCTTGTCATCATGGTGAAGAAAGGGGTCCAGGAAAGACTGCTCTAGATATCAAGTGTTATGAATCTGAATAATTTATTAAGATGAAACAGCAATTTTCCGAACATAAGAAAGAAGATATTGTATTATCTTGAAAGCTGGAATTAGGATTACAATTCTTCCGCAAAAGAAAATCTTAGAATCAAAGTAACTATTCTAAGCTAAGCTAATTAAGCCAACAAAAGGCTAAGGTTCAACATAAGGTCCTCAGACATTGCCTCTCCTATAAATAGAAAGAGCACAACCTTCAAAAAGCAGGAAAAGACAGCTAGGGTACGCTGCTTGCATGTGATGAAAACGACATGCAGTCCTTGACAAAACGACACAGTTCCTCCCCTCCTATCTTCAGCAAAAAACGCGTCAACAATTTAAAAGACTAAACACGATTCTTTTAGTAAAAACGACACCGTCGAACTTAAATTTAAAAAACAGTTAAAACCGTCACAGACAATCGATCCTCTTGTGAAATCCATAATACCGCGGTTCACTGGGAAAACAGGTAGATCCAAATCACTATGTCGGAAAGAGCCCTCTACCAAACTGTCAATATCCGCCAACATTATATTAATGGTCACGAGCAAGGGGTCATTACGAGGAGGTCCCTTTGATTTCAAAACGTTTTTCGTCCCGAACTCTATGGTGGTCGGATATGCGATCTCGTACACCTCTCCCCCATTTTTAATCTCTCCAAGATTCCTCCTCCGAGCTCGATGTGTATCGTCTCCGGTGGATCCTCCTTAAATCATCTGGATGAATCCTCTCTTAGGTGGATGAAAGAACTCTTTCATTCCATCTCAACATCTCAGCTCAGATCTATAAGATATACTACAGACGGCGCCAATGATCGGACTCGTTTAGATACGAGTTTGCTATCGCCAGCTTTATGTCACCTTATGCTTGTTGTCATTTGCACCAAGTCAACTTTCGGAATCACGATCAGCCGTCAATCCTACAACACTTGAAAGGTTTTCCCGCCGTAAACGCTCCGACTATGAACTCAGTGTCCAATTATGAGTATATTTTCTATCTCTATCTCTACCAATTTTGAAAGCATGATGTTTTTTGTTTCTTAATATTTTTGTGCTTCCTATTATGCATTGTATAACAAATTATACCATCAATTAGTTAGGGATAATTTTGTAAGAACAAAAATGAAAATAATAAATTAACATAGCTTAATAATGTAGTTTAAATATCAAATGTCTTTTCATGTGCTATATTTATACTACGGTGAGAGTTTATTTTCTTCTTATTGTAATTTTCTCAACATATATATTGAAATCTTCGATGTAATTTAATTTGAGTACAACTAAATTTGAAGAGTTTTCCAATGATATATTTATTATAAGCATATTTTAAAATAAATTCTTTTGTTTTAAGTTAAGCATTAGGTACCTAAAGTAGTTTCAAATTTTCAATTAGTTCTAATATAATTTTTATCACGTAAATTCCACGAATATAGTCAACAATTTTTTTTCGGATAGGGGGTGGTGTGCTAAATAAAATCCATCATGGGGGTAAATGTTGATTGTTTTAACATAGGGGTTTTTCCGGCAATTAGACTTTTCACAGGGGGGTGTATGCAATTAACTCCAAAAAAATAGGTGGAATATAGTTAAAGCAAATAATCATCTTGTAGGGTGTGGGGATTCTCACAGGACTGTGTTGAAAAAACCAAAACTAAATTTTTTTTATCATGTAAAAGAAGATGAGCATATAAAATTCCATCAAACAGTAAGCAGTATATTAAAATTCCAAGGTTATGTTTTCGGGCTTCGCCAATTGATTGCCATAGGAACCTCGTTTCCAGATTCCCATGGAATCGGCAAAAGACAGTACGTCAACCCATAAGGTCCTTACAACATATATCCGCACCTAATTTCCAAAAAAACAACACTTCATTGCAAGGATATTAGGAAAACGGTTATATTTACATGTTACAGAACAGAAGTTACATTATAACCTATCGTAAAAACAAAATTTACACTACAAAAATCAGAATCACGGGAAATAAGCATGTATTTAGAAAGAAAAAAAAAATTGAAAAACAAAAACTACACGAGGAACATAAGACACGCTTCCTATACAGATATTCCAGCCGGATGACGGTGCTCCTTTGGATCTAAAAGGCAAACCTTCCGAAACGCACCACTAGAAGTATATTGAACCTTAGAATTTTGTTCTTCATATAAGTAAAGGACAACAAACCATACATTTTCTCCACTTCAAAGACTTATTAGTGTTCCTCATATGCATTCCCAAAAACTGCAACTACTGAAAATAATAAAAAAAAATAATTAAAAAAAAAAACAGAAGATAAAGAATGATCACTAGTAGGAGTATGTAAAATGTAAAACTTGCAGAACAGAAACTTTTACCATTCATTGTTTATTTTTGTTTATTAGTATATTTGTAGCTTGTTCTATATTAGAGAGGGGACTGTTAGAAGATATTTATGAGACTATTTCCTTGTATTTGTGTCTACTTAGTAGTTCCTGCCCATCTTAGTTAGGAGATTAGACTCTTAGTTGCCTGCCAATCGACCATTGTTGGACTAGTCTTTAAATTTGTGTCTTTTTCATCTAACAAGCTCAACTTCTGAACCGACTTAAGGGGAGCGTTAGAAGATATTTACAAGTCTATTTACGTCATGAATATGTGTCTATTTAGTAGTCGGTGTCTATGTTCGTTCGGATATTTGTGTGGCATCTCCATATAAGACAGTGCACTTATTCAATAATAAATACTAGGGCAAATTACGGCCACCCCACTGAGGTATGGCCAAATTACAAAAAGACCCCTCTTGTTTGGGTAATGACAGCCACCCCCTCTTTTTAAATATTTTCACATAAAATTTATGCAATTCGGTTATTTACCGAACCAAATCGTATATTTAGTTCGGTAAACGGCATGAAAGGCTAGCGTACCAAAATTTCAGTTCGATTGTACCAAATTAACATCCCTAAATTTACCTCTGGAGGGGTCTTTTCGTAAGATAATACATACATAGTTGGGGGTGGTGGCATTAATTACCCAAACATGAGGGGTTTCGTGATTTAACCATAACTCAGGGGGTGGCCATAATTTGCCCTAAATACTATATTTTCTGCTTTCCCTACAATTCTATCTGACTTATTTATTCTAATTTCTAATATATTTGACCAAAAAGTTTGCATCATCATTCATTCAAGAACAGAAGATCATGATAAATCTACCAATTACGTTTTATAGAAAAGGAAGTAGTAAAAGTACCTCAAGTTGGCTTGAAAACCAGATTTTTGACACATTTCAGCATACAAAAGCAGCTCTTTCTCTTCACATGTGCAGCCGTCACAAAATTCAGAAATATAAATAGCTTTTCTTCATTTCCAGGTAGGCTTTCTCAGCACTTCTTAGGCTTAAGTGTTTGCTGGCCTCCACCATAATTTAAGAAAAAGCTCTTGAAACATACGTGTAGCAGACAACCCATCCTAAGGCATCTAAAATAATATCACAATTGGGAGCTGAACATCGAATTCATTCCGATCATGATAGAACTGAGGCTGCGGCTATTTCACAGCATAACCATTAACTGTCACCATATTTTTTGTGAGGCATTGCACATCAGGAGTAATGAGCAGCAAATTGCTAAATCACCAGCCAAAAAGTAGCGATGCTTTTGACAGCTGAAAGTGGGAAAGATAGTTATTCGTTTGACAGCTGAAGCAAGCCACGCATCTGTAGGTATGGATTTTCCAATAGCTTCTCGTTGTTGCTCTGAAAAAACAAGAATATCATAAGCACTAGTAAGAAAATCATGGACGTAAAAGGATATTACTACACATTATACCAGGCATGCTCTGTACATGATTCACCAAATTATGCTCATATAATCAGACAAGTGAGAAATTAAGCACATAAGAGGAAACCAAGATAAATAATAATTTATCACAAAAGCATATATCAAATCTTTTGCTTTCAAGTGATCTAAAAATGGGAGGTTTTCGTATTTTTAAATGTGTCCCTAATGTAAATAACAACGCTATTTCTTTTAACATAGTCCACAAGCAAGCGAATTAAAGAGTGTAGGCCCTAGTGTTGGAAAACATAGAATCAGTACTCAAGACTAGCACTGCCTTTTGCCAGTCCGGTAGACCAATTGGCTAACTTACCAAGTGAAATTTTGGAAATCTATCTTATATATATGTGGCACTGGTTGCATTAAAATGTGTAGAGTTGCAACCGGCAAAACTCTCAAGAATTATATTTCCTAGGATATTTAACAGTCAAATAAGATTTGGATAAACGTGACTTCATTGTTTGCCTAACAGAGCTGATGTATTTCATTTAAGGCCAACCCATATCAAAAAGTATGCACATAATAATTTAAACCAGAGAAACATGGTTTAAGTTATTATCCATAAGTTCTACTAAGAACTGAACTTGCGAACTGTTATTGGTCAACCTTTACTTCGATCTGGCCAAACAACATCCCAGCCAATTGAAGACAATTTAGTCCGAAAATATACCAAGTCCACAGAGCTAATTGCATCAGTGGCAGCTCAGGGAATTCATGGTCATATCATTTTGAGTTTTAAAAGCATCGTTAAAGGACCTGATGACACTGGAAATGATAATTTACTCCATGTTGGATCCTAGCCTGAGTAATCTCAATGGACAATAAGAAGCAGCACAAAATTGTGGAACTAATGTTTTTGCTCGTAACATAGAAGGATAGCTAGGCAACGAAAAAGACCTTTTTCATAGATTAAAACAACTATAACACTTTGAAATAGGGCATATGTTTCTTCATATCAGAACAAAAACCTGCTGAGCCTTTGAAACAAGACTATGAAGCATGCGTTGGTAACTGTCTGGTTCCTCTGTCATCATTCTCTGCAATATAAATTCAAATTAAATATAATATCACCACATTTCACAGTTCAACGTCGGGAAAAGAGATCCAATACTTACCTTCAAAAGAAAGGTTGAAGAGTAATATGCCACTCTTGCATCTGTATCATCCAATAATTCCCTGACAATTATGCAAAAAGTGTTTAGAAATCAAAGAAAACAAGAACCTTCAACAGTGAGTTCAAGCTGAAAAACTACCTGAAGAATTCTTCTCCACCAACATCTTTGAAAGCAGCGGGATCTGCTGTACATTTACCAATTAAAAGTAAGAGAAGTGTAGCTCTTATATCTGATGTGCCACCTGGAAGATTTCCTCTTCCTTTGCTACCAACAGAGACGCCCAAAGCAATATTATCTGTCGCAGCACCAGCTAGCTGGATCAAAGGCCAATAAAATAATGCAGCAGGAACACGAGCAACCAATTGCATGGGAACAATAGCATGTCCATGAAGAAGCAGCGCTGCCATGGATGCAGTATCACGAATTGGAGTATGCATATTTTTCCCAAAATTTGTTTTAGGGTCTCCACTGAAATCACCACGACTGGGGTTCTCCTTTAGGGATAAACCTTCTGCTCCATCTCCCTTAGTCATCTTTTCTGAAGTACTAGAATCTTTAATGTGCATTATATCTCCAAATGGCATCACAGGAGAATGCGCAACTTTCAAGCACAGTTGAGATAATAGAATATCACACATCTGTTCATGCAAGTCCGAGGAAAATAACAGTGTAAGAAGATAGAGAAGTACAGAACAATTTTACGAGGTGTCTTTACGCTTGCAAACAATGAACTTAAACAAAACAACTTCATGAAGCAACCAAGCAAAAGTATCTGTTAGCTGACAATTATTTATCTCTAAACAAAAAGAGTCAGATCAGGACAAAGTCAAACTATAATGGCTATCATAAACTAGCAGCAGCAATATGCATAGTGGCAGTTGTGCCATGAGGAAAGTTCATACTTCTGAAATGCTTAAAGCATCGCCTATCTGTGAGATGTCTTTTCTAGAGAGAGAAAAGTCACTTAGGAAATCATGAAAAGAGTGGCAGGTATCGACAATCAGCATAACAGGTTTAAATTGCAAAACAAGGATTACTGCAGAACGTCACCAATAACAATATGATTGGTTACCTTCAAAATATTCATTCGATCAGTTTCATTAATTTGAGCCATCAGAGATAAGGCACAGCTCATGATATCTATCACAGCATTCGCTTTCTCAAGACGACTCTTGTCATGTATATGTGCCGAAGGTTGACTACGCATTACATGCTGGACTTCATTCTCATCTAGCAAAAATTTGCACTGAATCAGAAGCCTCTCCAGAACAAACAAAAAGCCCCATCTGATATGGCTATTTCTGGACTTGAGGAGCCCACACATGAGCCAGATTGGTAAAGGAACATCTGAAGAGGCTGAATAATCATTAACACCAGCAAGCAAAATTTTCTTCTCCAAGTTTTTAATGCTTGACCAGAGACTCAGATCACCTTCCTCACTGATTTCAGCAATCAGCAAGTCCCCCAACCACAAATACCCATTGTGGCGATTAGCTTTCCTTTCAGAGTGTAGAAGAGAATGTAGAGTGGTCCAAGAGAGCTTCGCATTCAAAGTAGAAATGTTTCCAGGAACTTCACCAATGCTTTCAGAAGATTTGAATAATTTCGTGATCTGAATCATTTGGGTGAACTCTTTGTCTACATGAGTAAATGACCCTATGAGTGTGTCAAACTTCTCTACTATCTTCTCCAAAAGCTGCAAGAGGAGCATAATTGAAAAAACATATAAAGAATATGTATCTGAGCTAATCAAACAACATGCTATATAACATCTACAAAAAAAAAATTATAAAAGAAGGAAATGACAGGTAGAAGTATCCAATAATGTTAGCATGGGTTTAAAATAGAGGCACAGAAGCCTAAACTCAGGCAAACACAAAAGTTGGGGTCAAATTTTTTGTTGTTCATAAAAATATGTTCTCAGTAGATATGCAATCTGGTCCGGGGATAAACCACATTGTAAGTCCATATCAACATGAAAGAATGAAAAGCAAGAAGTGATCAGAAGTAAAAAATAGACATAAGAAGTACAGATGGCTAACTAAAGTTGAACACGATATTTTTTTACAGATCAAACCACTTGGATCCAGTACAGTAAATTTATATGATCAATCACAATGGGCAGTTAAAACGTGACAACCTATAAAGATGGCAACATGTTGAATCAAACTTCAGGGTGGATAAAAAAATGCTAAGACACTGTTCAAATTTGTACTCCCATAATTGACAGTTCATAATTGTATCAAGTAGTGTGAAGAAGGCTTCTAGACCAATGTCATAGTCTTAGCAAATATGTTATCTTTTGCGTGGAAACAAAATGCTAGGATGCCGTCAAAGTTTATATTCCCATAATTGATACTTCATAAAATTGTATCAGGTAGGGTGAAGAAGACTTCTCCGACCAAAGTCATAAACAACCTCCAGTCCTTTTGAAACTTTTGACATATAAAGTTGAATATAAATGTGAGTATACTTAGCTTTTGATCACACGGAAAAATGAATACCATGTTTCAATTATGTAAACAAGATCGAGAAATATACCGTCAAAAGCCGATCATTATTAGGATATGTGGACAGTGCAGTAGAAATTGATCTCCTCAATAGTTCCACAATACCTTCAACACTCAACTTGACCGAAATATGCAGCGCTTCGGGTGCGTCTGCAAGCACAAGCAAGACAGCAATAGGTCGAACCTCATCATCACTATACTCTGAAACTCCAGCAGCTATACATGCCTCATTTACTTTATGTGATACATAGTCGAAAAGCACCAGATATAGATTTCTTCTCTCTTCCCTCGAGTTTGAAAGAACCAACTGCATTTGCAAAATGAACATTTACTCTATTTGAGCATAAAATATCAATTTCATGTAGGTCTTTAAATGCACAGCCTCTGCCAATGCAAGAGAGTCAACATTGGGCAAGGAGATTCAAACGTAGATTAGCGAAGTACCGGAGACATTTGATTTCTGAAATTTCTCTAAGCACATACAAAAAAGGAATAGTATGCTTACTTAGTGAAAGAAAACGAACTATTTTCTTATTCTGAAAAAATCATTTATACCACCCATTAAAAGAAGATTTGAGGTGAAGAGAGCACTACTTAACGAGCCTCTTTCTGGAAGCTGTTCTTCATGGCTAAATATTAAAATGAATCCAAATAAGGCTATTTTTGTCAGGAAACATAGAAGATAATTGCTGAACAGGTATAGCAGGTCAAAAAAAACCTTATAGTTTCCAGTTTCCACATGTGGCATAGATTTTCCTTCTCAACAAAATTTAGCTAACAGGAAATGGTTAGACTAGTACCTCCCCAAATATAAAGTCAATTCCGCCAATCAGATCAACTTGGTTAACAAGAAACAAAGGGGTAGCTGAAACAACTTTATCAGGTCCCTCTGGCACTTGATAAAACATGTTTGTCATCATACATATAAGTTTGCAATGAACTACTTCCGCCCAAGAGTTTCTTCTACTGATCTGCATGAGTACCTTAATAACCTGTGGGCAGAGAACAACGTTGATGAGAGAGAAAAATTCCGGGGGGGCTGAATCATCTATGTCGAAATTATGCAAGACAAATTTAATGATGATGAAGATATCATTATAAAATTTTTACAGCATTGTGATTGATCATAGATATTAGACCTACCATAGAGACAATGTACAACCAATTAAAATGTTTATTAGTTTGGACCTGTATAAGGAACAAAAGGCTATTTTCTAGGGAAAAGTTAGTGCTCTATATTGGTATTGTCAACTTAATAATTGTAATAAGAATTACCAACCTATACTAATTCACGTAAATAGCTGAACAAATACTAATTTAATAAAAACGCATTTCCTAGGTTTATAGTTAGTCTTTCTTTTATTAGTATTATGAACTTGATAGTTTTTTATATGAAATACCAACCTATAGTAATTCATGTACATGACTGTGCGCTAATAGCTGAACAAATAGTAATTTAATTAAATTGGATGGTCTATATTAATAAAAATATCATTTCAGATTGAACAGCTATTCACATTGCTAGAAATCCAGTTTTTACAAACAAACTAAGCATATTGAAGTTGATTGTTACTTCATCTGTGAGGCTGTAACGAACCGACAAATCAATGCTCCATGTATACCTTCTTCTGAACAAATTATTGACATTTTAAGCAAGGGAAAAGACAATTCAAGTACATAAAACTTGAGTTGCATCTAAAGAACGTTTTGTTAGCAATCAATATATGACAAGAAAGCTAAGTAGTCAAGATACTCACTCTAATATCAAGACCTTTCAATCTGCTCCGTCGGATTTTGCCTCTATCACAGACGAAATATAGTAAACAGCTTAAGGAAGAAGCCCACACAGCCTCCTCTTTCTCTTCCATCTGTAAAATAGTAAAGAGGAACTTTTGTATGAGAAAGTTGAAAAATGACTTATAGCATCAATTAATAAGTGGACAGAAAGCAAACAAAAAAGGATAGAAGAAATTATTAGTTGTCAAAAAAGATATCTTGATAGTTGTAGTCAGATGAGTAGCGTACATATTATGTGTTCAAAAGAAGTAGTCTCCATCCATGAAATAATACTTGTTTTGCCGCTAAGGCTATAACATTATGAACTGATAATAGTTCACAATATATGGAATGTGATTTTCAACAAATCATGGGACTTTAATGATCACTAAAAATTGCATGAAGGAGATGGAGGATCCAACAAAGATTCAGTGGCAATGAGGATTAAAGTTGTGATAAACACAAAGAAATCACGAAGATTGCACAAGCCAGATTTACTAACAAAATCTCACAAAAAAAAATGGATATAGATATTTACAGCAATTTACTTGGGCAAGCACCGATCCTAGACTCAACTTCTACATAATCGGTTAGTAAATTTCCTCCTACTACCCATATCCTAAACCAAATCTCTGGATAATGATCTTGGGCTCCAATCGTTTTTAGGGAAAGAGTTGGTCATGCACCTAAGATCCTATCCCTAAGTTTCTTTCATATGAATCTTTTGTCCCTTCCCTACAAACATTTTTAGTTGTTCTTTACTAATGTATCTATTTCATAGGAATTGGAGGAAGCACTTCCAAGACCCAGGATGGGAAGAAACCATGGTTGAGACAAAGAATTTACCCAAGAAATGGAACTTAGGAACTTACTACTGATAAGTTCGGCATTTTATGTTAAACATAATGCAGATGGCTCCATTAAGAGACTTAAGGTCTAGGGAATAGATTAGGAAGAAACTTACACCTTCAGCCACGTCATGTGATTCAGTTTCACAATGTTTAACAATCAGTACTCAATCTTTTGGTGAAAATGTATCACCACCAATCACAATTTGGATGCGGAGAACCTTAATTGGTGTCCCTCATCTGTTCTCATGGCAGCACTATGAAAACAGAGGTGGGATACAACACAGGGAAATCGAGGAAGCCTAAATGTTGGAGATTTTGCGTATAGTAACTGGGAACTCAAAAAATCCATCATCATGGTTCATAAATTTTATTGAAGTACAGATCAGCAGCACGTATATTGAACAACTTTTGTTCATCAATTGTAATAAGTATTCTCTCTCCTCTCACCGTTCTATTGATCTTGGCCTATTTTAACCTATTCCTCCACATTTTTAACTAACTTGATGCATATAGTAGATATTATTGAAAGTTTAGATATCTAAAAGGAAACTATTTGTCATTATTGTTCATCTTATGTTTCACTCGTTTGCAAATATTTCCTGTCATAGATAGGATATACCTGAACAAGATGAAGAAGAACCTCAAAGAGAATGCCCAGAATCCAACACTCAAATGTATCAATAGCCGAGGAATTTCCTGTTTTCTTGAGAGAGTTGGATTTTATATTTCCATGTGAAGAAACTTGAGTTCCATTGTCAAAATATGCTTCCTGGGAATACTGTTCTTCAATTATAGAGGAATCATCACGAGCTGGTGGCTCCAATAAATGTGCATGCACTCCAAGGTTAATAATTAAATCAAAAGCTCGAGTCTTTGACATCAAGCTAGGAGAATTTAGCATGTCCTACAAAGTTACAGAGAAAATAATTAGACATAAATACATGTCTGATATAAAATCATGTGAGAAGAAAGCAGCACCTCTAGCAAGGATAGAGAGAGAGGACCAGCAGTCTCAGAATCCAAAACATACCTGCAAACAGTTTAGAACTGACGTATCAGGTTGAGAAGCTTGTTTATAGAAATGTCAGCTCTGGTTACTGTTATACCCAATTTCGGAGGAAAGATTTTACGATAGTAAGTTAACTCTAAATAGTTCAACCCATGGACCCATACTTTTAGAAGATCTAATGAATGATGATAAACTGACCCTGAGTAAGCAATACAGAGAATGGAGCGTAAAAGTATCCTTAGCTTAGATTCGAATAAGTCAAATTGACTAGTGTCAAGCCGATGACGAGAATTTGAACCTACTAACTTGGCCATGAAAAATCAAAGACATTAAGCTAAGAAAGTTACCAGCACAATTCTTTGACAAAGTTACCGAGGATTCCCACGAAAAAAGGATCAGTAGAATAATCTTATAGAAGATAAAGTTGCAACAAATAAAAATGAGGGGATTTACATATAAACCAATCTTCTCACCATTATTACTCCGTTTACCCAGTCAACACTCGTACCTGAGACATGCCCAAGTAACTCTCCCATTCACCCATATTTATGCTTGTTTATATACTTGCACATATTTAGGCACACGGACAAAGGAAATTGTATGTGGCTGCGTGTCTTATAGTTAATTCATAAGATATAAACAAATGCATCATATCTTACATGTCAATTACAAGTTTTACAAGAACGCTCACGGCTACATCCATAGACGGCTTTCCACTTTGTCTTAATTTAGATGAGACTGTCAGGTGACTGGAAGTGGCAGAAGATGCCTCAGAACAAACAGCAGCAATAACCTCATACACCTCCACAGGGTTCAGCCGCAAGGGTTGTTGTTCACTGGCATAAATAAATAAAGTAAACATACATACATCATATATATATACAAAGCTATGGAATGCATATGAAATAAACAAATTTTAATGAATAAATGACTATTAAAGAAGAGGGTGTTGAATGTAAACATAGGTCTCAAAATAATTAACTATACAACCAACAAGTTACATGGCACGCAGTCATAAAAACCACAGCAAGTGAACTCACAACAGGGAAGAGACATAGTCATCGACAAGCAGTTCATAATTAAGGGTACCTAAAGAAACTTTCATTCTTTACCTGTAATGTCGATATTGAAAGAGTGGTCTTGCACGTGGCCGAAATGTGCTCATAGGAGAATCCTCCCTGAGGAAAAAGAAGTGACATTCAGATCAATACGACGGGAAGATCAAGTTCAGATTAGCATATTATCTCATAAAACAAGCCCACCAGCCAAAATGTCCATGACATAATAAGACCTACAACAAAAGTTATTCCCATGATGTTGCAGATGAATGCACGGTCATAGAACTTGGTAATCTTGAGAACCGTGGTTTGAAAAACTTATAAGAAAAGAAAAATCACCAAAACACAATCGAGCAGAAAAGAAAGAAACTCCAAAACAGTTAGATATTAGAACGTGAATTAACTAACACAAGTCTCCATAATCTTAAAAATTATATTAATCAAGTGCTAGAAAAGTTAACAAATTTCATCGGTTTTAAATTGATAAATGACGAGTCACAGAAAATCAGCATCCCCTCATTGCTCTACTAAATAATTACTAGGTAACAAGTATACCATCAATAAAAACGTCAAGAGAATATCATGAAGATTTAACAATTAATATAAGAAAACATTACTGGCAAGAAAATAAACTCAAACCACAGTAGGAAAAAGAAAGGGATTAAGCAAAAACATGCCAAATTTGATTAGCGGCTGGTTTGGAGCGTTTTAGCGCTGTTATTGCTGTCAAGTGTGCAAAAGCTGAAGCTGAGTTGGTGACAGTAGTCAGTAATGAAGGCTGCAACAATTGATCAAGGTAAGGCATGTCTGCACTTCCAAAAATTCTCCAAGCTTCACCCTTCATTTTCGCTTCCATGTCCCCAACAAGAAGAGCGGCTGCACCTACTTCTAGGAAATTATGAGTGCGAATGTCTTGGAGATTCAGAATGTGATCGCTGTAAGTGAGTATTTTCAGAAATTGGTAAAAGCAAAAATAACTAATGTGATTAATGAATAACAGCAGATAGAGAACAAGACCTTTTGGGCAAGAGAAGTGATGAATGTTGGTCTCCAGACCAACGCCATCTGAAAGCATCAAGTGCCATAAACTCTAGATCTCCAACTTCATCAACTTCTTCAGCAATTGGAGAGTCAGATATAGATGCTACAGATGTGTCCTTCTTCTCCAAAGATTCCTTGGCATTTGCCGGACTTAATTGGGAATTGAATGATTTGCTCAATAAAGATGATAATGTTGGTAGGGATTGTCTTGATGCAGGTGCAGCTCCAGCAAAGGCAGCTGGTTGAAATGAGCGCTTTGGGATATATTGAGCCACTAAAGAGCGAACATAATTTAAAGATTTCATAAGTGCGCCGCCGGATGCATAACCCGACACAGGCAAAAGATTTACATTTGTAGATGGTGGTGCCAATTTTCGGAAAGGGCCCACATCACATTCTCCAATTATACTTGTGCAAAATCGATCGATCTGTAGTAATGTCTCCTCACTGGGCTTATATCTGCAATTAACAATAAGCTTGTGGATGAGATAATTAACCAGAGTAGGTTCATGAGCAACGTTCTCAAAGCTCTACCAATGCTATTATAAAAAAAAATTAAATAAAAATTACATATCTTAATATGTTGCAATTCAGAACTTACATTCCTTCTATTAGTGGGTGTTGAGAAGGAGGAAGGAGGAAAAGGAAGATACTATTGATTAAGTGGTGGTGGTGGTGGTGCGGGGGGGGGGGGGGTGGGGTGGGGGGGGTGTGTGTGCAGAGCAAACTAGGGAAACATGGAAGATTCAGATCAATAATGGAAGATCCCTGCCACTTTGTTGTGTATGCAACAAAGCAAGCCAACACCATATGAAAGACCACTGAGAAACCCACCCACACGAATTAAGGGACCCCTACAACTTATTTGATATCCAAACTACCAGTTAAATTATTTCAATACCAGGCGTTATTGCATGATCTACCCATTTGTCACCACAATCAATACCACACAATTGAAGATAATAATGCCATTCAATTTGGAGTTAGGAAACTTGGAGAAGAAGTGAAAGTTGGAAAACCATGGTTTAATGGTGTTCTTGTAACAATATTATTTCAAATCTTTTTCTTTTCAATTTTTTTTTTAAATGCATATGCCCACTAAACAAGTACAATTACATACATATAAGAAATTGTACGGAAGACGAGGATGTCCAGTATAGCATCAGTATCTTGTATGCCAAGGATGAAAATTTGGTTAAATCATCTTAATACTTTAGAGACTCATTACGCAAGTTTTATGGGTTCATACCATCAGAACTCTCATTTGTTTGAGGATTCACAAAATATGACTAGAAAGGAGGGAAAAGCTAAACTATAAAGTTATATGGTACTCATGGGAGATGAAAGTAACTAAAGCTAATATACGAATGAAAATAGTTAGTCACTTGAGATATTTAAGTAGAAAACTTAAATGTATAATGCTGTTTTTAGTTTTCTACTTCTAAGCTAACAGTAATAATAAAATCAAAAACATTATTTTTGTTGCTCAGACAAACAACTTTCTAGCCTATAAGAATTACTTGATTACCAATAAACCTTTATTTTCTCCTCATGACAACCCCAATCCTATATTCCTTTTTTTCCAATTCCCTGGACCTACAACTGTGAGTTGAATTGCACTGGCCTGCCCTTTTAACTCATTTCACCCCTCATCTCTACTATATACCTCCTACTGCTCTAAAATCTATTTATTTACTCTAAATGGTTTGCAGTTTGCTTTGGTTTAAGTATCATAAGAGGAGCCGTGAGACAGCACTAACATTTTATCAAAAACTGAGAGGAAGAAATGTAAGTATACATAACCAGAGAATAATGTCATCACGAATCTTCAGTTGTACTTGACTGAAGGGTTATTAAGAGCCTATAGTTTTTGTATGTGTTGGAATCAATGTAGATGCTAGTTGCACATAACAAGATTCACTAATCCAAATTTCAGTTGTATTTGAAGTGTGAAGAAGTTTCTTAATGATTCAATTAAAATTGAAGGATCGCCTTAATTATCGTTGTGCTAATACACAATCTCCTTTTGAGATACACACGTACAATAAAAACAAAGATATTAAATAAAGGAAACAAGGAAATTAAACGAGATACATGTACTGAATGAAACACAAATTTAGAAAAGGCATAGTCAACATAAATAATTGCTATACAACAAAACATTTTTTTACTGTCTTGTCTTTATTCCCATGTGCCATCTTATTTCCCCTTATATTTAGAAGAGTCCAATTTTGGTAGCTAGAGTGATATGGGATCTTGTTAGTTTTGATAACGAGTTTAAAAGCTCTCATATCGATGATCTATCTGAAGACAATGAGTATTATTGGCTATCTCCAACAATAATCTTTGTATACTGATTTGTATTTGGTTTTCTCTCGAGGCCCCATTTTTAAGAAGTGCTAGGAAAATCTTTTTATGTTTCTTCCTTCAACACAGAGCCCTGGCTTTTTTGTACCCAGGGCTGCATATTAGTGAAAACTGTACTGAAGGGTTACACTAAAGAAAATCCTTAGGTGGTCCAAACTTGCATAAATATTATAAACAGAACTTATATGTAACTGCGAATAATGCCCCAGAATGGGTTTGCTTGAATTTTTCAAGTGGAATTAGTAAGCCTATACGGAGTGGTGGGGAAGCCGATTACCGTTCAGCTCGGATACAAGATGGCTAGTGAAGAAAATTGCCAATTTATCAACTTTTTCAAATTCCATAACTCAAAAATTGGCAATTTTCGCTTTTTATTTTATCCCGACTATTGCAGCAAACTAGTAATACACAATACTGAGTGCACCATCATGTAATAGAGCATGAGTCTATGTATTAAATGTGAACATCCTGCACCTTTAAATGTCAAATATGCTCAATTCTCATGCATAGAGGCTCAAATGGAAAGAGAATAGTCTGATGATAGGAAGAAATCACCTTAAAAGATATCGTTTCAGAAGCGCCACACACCTTCCAACCACAGCAGGACTGATCACACAGAGGGATGCAAGTGTCACATAATAAATATTCAGCAACTCAGAAGAAAAATCATATAGCAGCAAAGGAAAGAATAAAAAATAAATCAACTTTATAACATACGATAAAATAATAAATAGTCGAGCAAAATCACTTTGCAAGGTCAAAAGCATGGTGCATGGTCTGATCAACCATTTTAGATTTATACGATAGCACCATATCACCCACAACAAAAAAAAGTACCTGCGTTCCTTCTCCGCAAGTGTGTGTTCTAGAATCATGCCATATGCCAGGTCAACTGTTGCAAGTGATGCAAGGTAATCCTGTCATTGAAAATCAGATTCATATCATACAAAATAGTCGTCTTTTGCTTTCTCTCACCTCTTGAAAATTGTAGTAGAGGAGATTAGATCAGACTGAAACAAACCTAAACTGCATTGAAGCTAGGATAGCAATTTGATACGGAAACAACTATAAGAAATCATATTTGAATGACTTAAGTTAATAAAACAAGAAACACTATTCTAGTGTAATTTAAACTTTTGGCCAACACCACTACCGTAAATAACACCCCTTGTGCATTTTTACATACATTTTTCTGGATCATTAGGAACAAAATTTAGACCAGTCACTAGCCAATTGACAAAATAAATGCCGGTAAAGAGGCAGAATCGAGAAAAAAAAAAGTATGTTAAAATCATAAGCAAAAACAAAGTCCACCCTTCACAAAAGTATCATACCGAAAATTGAGATATAACCTAGTAAAATCCAAAATCGGATTAAAAATGAGGCAACAGCTGCAGAGAGCAAGACGATCTGAATAAACAAAATCAAAAAAAAAATGAGTAAATGAATGAGGAGTATTCGAACCCGTAACGTCCTGGAAGCTTCGACCTGCGACGGAGCAGCGGCGGACAAACAATCGGCAACAGCGCGGCGAAGCGGCTCAGGCGGCTTCTTCAAAGAGGAGGATCTCAGCCGAGAAGCGATGGAACCGCCGAATTGCATCCTGGAGATTCCGGGGGTTCTCGATGGACTATAGCTGGTCGACGTCATGTAAAAAAGTACAATGCCTGTGTGTTTTTGGTGTGTGTTCAATGGGTGTGTCGAAAACTACAGCATTGGAATTTCGATTTTAGAGAGAGAGAGAGAGAGAGAGGAGAGAGAGGGGGGTGTATTAAGAATTCAGCGCCGGTAGTCATACAGTGGAGCCGAGGAGTTTTACAATCTGCAGGGGTGGGGGTGGAGATACAGCTGGCCAGGCCCAGGGTCAAGTGATTTCGATTCGGTCGTCAAAGAACCAATCTGGCTGTAGTGTGTGTAAATAGTACATGTGCCGGAAGTGATATTTGCCGTTTTCATTTTTATGGTTACATTACGGCTACCGTAATTTAAAACTACCCCTCAATTATGAATTTTCTTTCAGTTTACTTTTATCGTATCAAATTCGATAGAATCTTCTAGATATTGTGGAATGTTCTCTAGCTTGTACTTGTTTTGTAAAAAAATGTAGTTTCTAATGCACCAAAAAAATTTGATATTTACAAGCCAAAAGACACATCTTACGATTATCTAATTCCAAAATATGTAGCTCGAATGGGGTGAAACGGGTACAAACTGGAGAATGTTCCCTATAATCTAGAAAATGCACTAAATTTGACAACGCAATGGTAGAACTGTAAGAAGATTCATATTTAAGAGAGATAATTGTAATTGCCCTAACATGAAGGGTTTTTTTTCATAATTTGATCTCATATCAGAAGGATTACCCTAATTTACCCTAATTTATAGATACCATTGGAGATCTTTCCCTTTTTCTTTTTTATAAACCTAATCTTGTACAAAATTTGAGCACGACCTGGTGTGAACCTGGCTTCACATATTTTATTTTGGTTTTAAAAAAATTAATATATATTTTTAAGAACATAGATATTCTACGCTCGATCGCCGAACTCGTGAATCACTTTATGCATAAATTACATTTGATTTACACCAGAAAACGGAACAACTCGGAAAGAAATAATATGTTGAATGAAATTCGAATTGACGCACCACTGTGTCGGATAAATGTGCCATCTAACAAATAAAATATATCAAATAAGCAAATAACATCTGTAGCATGTTAGCGACCAAGATTTGAACAATAATCACGAACTTTATCGTTCGCCTTCCGCACTCGCCGAACAACGTCCAACTTACCTACTATAACAATATTATTAATACCTGATAAAATAAAAGGTGTCATCCAGCAAATCAAACATTTCAACTAACTTACATCTGTAGCATGTAACGAATCGAGATGTCGACGATAATAATTAATTCTGTCGTTTGTCTTTCGCACTCGGTTATGTACATGCCATCTCATGCACCTTGGTTATCCCTCAACATATTCAGGACCAACAAAAGATCGAAAATATAGGTAGTAATCGTATATCCAGGATTGCATAATTGATAAAAATAATTAACGTAACAAATATTGATGTATAAGAAAAGTTGACATATAAATAATAACCTCGAACATCGTCAAATATTCATAAATCTGGTTGTAGAATGTACAATCAGAAATTTCTTATTTAGAGATTTTTTTTTTTTTGTAACATCTTATTTAGAGATTAGATTAAATGATATAGTCAGATTGTAATAATTAGATCTTATGTTTCTTGACTCTTGTTATAAATAGGTGCATGCATTGAAGAATAATAACACAATTTTTAGGATAATTGGCTAGACAGTCTTATTTGGAAACTTGTCTAGAGTGGGAATTCATTTTATTAGATGAATATATGTATTGGTTCATTGACCAATAAAACTAACATAAATTATTAGTATATAAACATAAATACCATCAATTAACATTTATACTGAAATAATTATATATTTATGTAAAGTAAAGAAACAAATGTCCCATTTCACTCTATCTCTCTTCTCTTTCACGTTTTGTATCTCACCTACGTATCTCTATATTTTTCTCGATTTTTCTTCATTTGTCCTTCTCATGTATCTCTCTCCTCTTTCTTCTCTTTCTTTACCCTCTTTCACATCTCTCTCCTCTCTTTCAAATCACATGTATGTTCATCTCCCTCTCTTTCTCTCTTTCTCGGTATTCATTTTAGACAAAAAAATTATTACCCTTATGCTTTATTTTGTATTTTTTTGGATGTTGCTTTTATATGTTCTTTATTAACTGTGTTTTATTGTTATATCATTTTAGTATCCGAAATGTTATATATCACACTAAAATTATTGAATCACGCACACAATTAAAAAAAATTATCTCTCTAAATTTTTCCATCCAAAATTCGTTTCTCTTTTTTCTTTTCCCACCTCTCTTCATTTCCCACAAAATCATCTCACACGTAGGAAAAAAAAAAACATCACACACAAAACCACGGCAGACACACATACATTTTTGTTTTTGGGGGTATTGGGGGGTGGGTGGTTGGTTGGGGGTGTTATTTTCTTCTTTCAATTATTTGTTTAATTAAAATTGTGTAATGGTTTAAAATGAAGATTAATTAATGTTTGAAATCTTTTTAATATTAAAAATACATAATACCAAAATTATTGTTTCAATTTTATTAGTTAATACTGTACGAATATTTAATAAACAATACCAAACATTTAAAAAATGTTAATAATTCAAAATTATTTAAAAAAATGTTTGAGAGAATTTTTGAAATCATAAATTTGGTTTAAGATAATCGTCGTACGAAAATGTTAAATTCATTTTTGTTTGTGAGTGATTTTGAGAGAGTGCCCTAAAGAGAAGAAAGTGATAGAGAATATATAGACGTACAGAGATAATTTTATAATGTTAGAGAGATAAATTTGTTAATTTATGTGCGTTATTCAGTAAGTTTCAGTGCGGGATTTAGCATCTCCTTTTAGTAAATAGTTGCTTTAAAAAAAAATTAGTAAATCGCAAAACTGCACCCTAAATAATGCAAACATTAAAACTACAAACATAAATTTGTTATTTACTTTAGTTTGAGAAAAACAATGTTGCAAAATACAATAGCAAAACAAACATTTTCATTTGCAATTTTAACTTAAAATTTTCAAGGTGAATGTAAATCTTAAAACCTTTTTATCAACAAACAAAGACTGAAACTGCAAACTGCATTACATGGAAAAAAAATAAAGGTTTGAAGGATAATGTGAAATTGGTGTTTCTTTTCTGTAATGACTGGTGGTTTCTTGGGCCTCAGCTGCACTCGGAATTAATTTTTTTTTTAATTCTTCTTTTCCTTTCCTTTTGGATGATGTTGAACAGTCATTTAGTGATTTTTTTTCTTCCTTTTTTTTTTGATTTGGCTGTTGCAAGAAAAGAAAAATAATTCAGAATTAAGAAATTAGCCAAACAATGTTATTGCAAAAATAAAAAAGCAAACAACTTATGGAAGTGCATACAAGATTTGCAAAATGCAAACTGCAAATAAAAATATCATATGTAATTAAACATAACAAATAGGAAAAAACCCAAAACATAAATATTATTAGAAATGGCTGAATTTTTTAACCCGGCATCAGTGCTTCGAAGTCACCATCCTTCTCCGTTATAAGAAAAAAGACCCATAAATATTGGTTGTTAAATTATTATAAAACAGCCCGAACCCGTTGGATCTTGGGTCGGACCCGTCGGGTCATTGATCGTGAAATATAGGACATGGTCTCGAGCTGGATGGAGGACAGGTTGACGCCCGCTAAGTTCGATGTCCGGACCGGTTCCAATGATCTCGATCATTAAAAAAAAATTCCTATAATCGTACAGGTCAACCTAGTTCACTCAATAAAATTCATTTTTTTTTAAATAAACAAGTCACCCGCTAAGTCGATCGGGTCAACCGTGTTGACCCTTGAGAATGAGTCAACGAGTTCGGGCCTAGTCCTACTCGTCCCATGGGTATGCGTACTCCATTATCCGCTTTAGAACTATTTAACTTATCTATACCCACCCGAACGAATAGATTCGAGGTTTAAAACACTCCAAACCCGTACCAACTGTTTCTCCCTAATTACCCCTTATAAATAAAAGCAACCATTTTCCCGGAAAATTAGAAGTATAGAATATCCGAACCTTCTTTTTGAATATAGGAAACGAAAATAAAATACAAATAATAATAATAATTATATTTATTTTTCCTTTTCATTTTGAGGAGACAAACAAACAAATAATATAGTTTTTGTGGCCAGTCAAAAATTGCATGCACTATCCATAACTAACAAGAGATAGATAGGGAAACCCACAAACCTTTGAGCTGTTAGTTTACAGAGATGGCAGTTTCATCACTCTCACTCAGCTTCATCTCCAAACCAAAGGTCTTCCCCCAACATTTATTCATCTACATTATTTTTTATAATTTGATTTCTTTTATATCTGACAATTTTATTTAAATCTGTTCATCAGTTCGGCGTGCAAAGTTGGGCGAGCCAATCAGAACCCGCTGCTATTTCTGCACATGGGATTCCCAAATGCTCAATCAACACTTCTTCTACTGATGAACAGAAATGTACGAATTCGTAATTCCCCGTTTTTAGGATCATCTTCGTCTTTAATTTTCGGTTCTGCTGGTTGTTATTTGAGAGATTGTGTTGAATTTAACTCCAATCGATATGATGGTTTGGCCATTAATCTGTATGAAAAAGCATGACAAAGTTGTCTCTTCAAATCTGATAACTGACAAGGCATTTTAGTTCTAATTTTACGTAAAATTGATCGAAGACCATTTTTCGTTTGAGTGTGTATGTGTGTGTTGCTGCAATTCTAATCCGCGCAGCTTGTGTTTGTGAAAATTCCCCAATGAGAATAGTCAGTAGATGAAGAACCAGTTCGACTTTTAGTAAGGGGTAGTCTCGATTATTTTACAATTCCCTTTTCGGAAAAATTCTCTATGACCATTTACTAGGTGTAGTTTTATTGTAACTGCCGTCAAAATGTATGATGGTTTTACATTTCTAAATCCATTTTTTTTCCTCCTTCGTTGTTGCTATTCTTTTCTAATTCGGGTAAAGGAAACTTCTAATGTTATCCTCAGAGTAAAACTCGGGGAAGTGTTTGTAGTTTCTTGGTTCCAAGCTCTATGATTTAAATAAGTTGCATTGAAATTGAAATTGTTTGTATACTTGTGCAGCAGTTCAATCTGTAAGCTGTAAAAGGAGGGAACTCGTATTCGGATTAGGTGCTCTCTCTGTGAACTCATTTCCTATAAGCCCCGTCTTTGCAGAAGGTACTATGCTTTGTAGTAATTTAACACGTGTCCTAATATCTTCATGCCATTGTTCCATGAAAAAATAACATATATTGTATTTTGTTAACTTTTGATTATTTTTCGTTTATAGTATCAATTATGACATATTGACATGGTTTCTCTTGATTTGAAATTCATGAAATTGGATGCTCTTTTGTTCCATTTCTTTATATTCACTTCTCACTAGTTTCCGAAACTAAACTCGATTATCCTTCCATGCAGAAAAACCTGACAACTATGAAGTGTTTGTTGACAAGGTTGATGGTTATTCATATTATTACCCCTCAGATTGGAGAGTAAGAGTTTTATTAGAAGCTACAAATAGCTTTTTTATTTATTTACTTGTTTATTTTATTTTATAATTAGTCGACAATTTTGATTACAGGAATTTGACTTCAGAGGTCACGATTCGGCATTCAAGGATAGCCATTTGCAACTTCAAAATGTGAGACTGAGTTTTATACCAACAAATAAAACTGATATCCATGATATAGGACCAATGGACGAGGTGAATACCGACATCCTTAACTCTGTACTTAATTTTTTTTTCAAAGGATCTATTTGAATTATCTAAATAATTTTTTTAGCTTGTTGCTATTAGGTTGTTGCAAATCTTATAAATAATGTCTACTCTGCACCAACCCAAGTAGCAGATTTATTGAATATGCAAGAGGTAAATTTCCCCTCCATAATCTATGGTTTCATCTCTCTCTCTCTCTCTCTCTCTCTCTCTCTCTCTCTCTCTCTCTCTCTCTCTGGTGTGTTTTGTTTCTCTCTCTCTCTCTCTCTGGTGTGTTTTGTTTTCTATTGGTACACGCTATTTTCTGTTCTTGTTTTATTAATAAGCGGGTCAATCTTATAACTGCAGAGAAATATCGACGGTAGAAACTACTGCACCTTCGAATATGTACTTACATCTCCAAATTTTGCCCGAGCAGCTTTTGCAACCATAGCAATTGGAAATGGTATGTTAACTTTTTCATCGCGTTTAATGCTCAAATTTGACATCTAAAACATATAAAGAAATTTCTTTTATTTGGAATAGGGAAAACACAGAGCTTTAGTTAGATTTTGTAATGGTATCAACTTAAACTAGAACAAACATAACGTTTTACGGTGAAAGAGGGAATTGCTTCTTTGTTAGTCTTGTGTACATTGTGTGTGAGATCGATGATGAGAAATGATGATTGATTATCCCCATATCTGTAGTGCAACTAATCTTTGTCAAAACAAGATGGTTTTATATTAATTACGTTCTGCAAAAAAAAAAAAAAAATCGTAATTAGTGTCGGAATTTATGCAGGAAGATACTACACATTGATTGTTGGAGCAAACGAAAGGCGGTGGAGAAAGTACCGGAACCAGCTTAAAGTTGTAGCCGATTCCTTTAAAGTGTTCGACATGATCTGAATGCGTTGTATGTTCTTGCTATTCCGATCACAATCTTGCAAAGATTTGAAGTTACCAGTCTCTCTCTCTCTCTCTCTCTCTTTATATATATATATATATATATATATATATATATATATATACAAGTATGAAGATGTTTCAACTGTCTACATGTTAATTTTGTTGATGCTTTGTGTTCACTTGTTTCGTTATATAAAAAGAAAATAATGTACATATGTTTTGATGCTTTAAGGCGCTTCAGATTCATGTAAAACTGAAACTCACTTATGACTTTGCCTATCTTGATGCAGTTTATTTTGTCTCTTCTTTTTTTTTTTTCATTTCTTTCTGATTGTAAAATTGAAAGTTCTCTTACTTTTTATGTCTCAGTGCATTGCATTTAAAACTGTATGTTGACTAGAAATAGGGTAGAATGGAGTGATGATAATTGATACCCACCCCTTATTTTTGTTCCAAGAGAAAGGAAGATTTAAGAGAAATGAAAAAAATAATAAACAAAATGAGGCAAATGAATTGCTTGATACATTGTACTGTATAACATGTCTCATCCTTAGATTATTTAAAAACATTTTATTGTTAAATATAAAAAATGATCAAATGAATGTACAATAATTCCTTCTCTTTCGTTCCTTAATCCATCCTTCCTTACCTTTAAATTCCACTAGTAACCGTGTCCCGCGCGATTGCTCGGGGTAGCATTTAAAAAGGAAGCACGGAACATAGTTTTTAATACATGAATATAAAGATTGCAATACAATAAATATAGTGTTATTTCTTTATTTCACTTGTTGCATAGACTTACTCACATCATATATATATATATATATATATATATATATATATATATATATATATATATATATATATATATATATATATATATATATATAGATATATTCTTCAACTGTCTATGAAACATTCGATGCTAGTTAATTAACACCATCTCAAGGTATTATTAATTTGATTTATATATTTGTAATGAGGAACAAATCATAAACACATAATTCCAACTACTATTTTTTAATCTATTCGACCATGAATAATGAGATTTATAAGTTTTGTCATCTAACATAAAATTAATGAAAATTTAATTAAAAAATACATTGATTATTGTAATAAATAAAATAACTAAAATTAAACCGTTAACAAATGAAAAATGTCAACGTTTAGAACATTTAGTTACTCATGACAAATCTATGCTCGAGAAATAATCTTTTGGGGGCTTGAAAGTATACTACCATATATCATATTCTAGTGAAATTTTAGTGTAATTTGCCTATACGGGCAAAAGATGCTATAATAACTACATAAATGTTGTATATTATATTTACATCAATAAGAAACAAAATTGACTAAAAACTACATAATGAAAGTAACCTTTATTTATAATATAGAACATGTTATGTGGAAGTTGTGTATTGTTTTTTTTCCCCCTTAATCACTAAACCGCCAAAAACAAAAATTGAAAATAAAGATAAATTCCACTCGTCAACTAAACAGTTGTACTGTAGAAGCATGACAAAAACCAAAAGTCAATTCGAAGACTGTTGCATAAAGCCGATGTTGATCATGCAAAATAATTTTCTTTATCGTATTTGAATAGACATATGAGTTGTTAAACTACCTTATGAAATTTGTCTTTATCAAAATACAAATGTAAATTCGAAGACTGTTACAGATTTTTGTTATCATAAGAAAGACAAATACCTTATGAAATTTGGTAAAATATGTATTTGCATTTAATCTCTAAAATATCAGTTGCCAATGAATTTGAAATTAAATACTTAGTTCTCGCCGTATCGAGATGGTGGACAATATTATTTAGCATCCAATATCATTTGTCTAGAGTAGATATTCTCTTACATCCTCAACAAATGGATAATTCAAACACAATCGTAATCTAAATCTACTTCTGTCCATTTCAAACTGTTAAAGAATATCGTATCTAATAACAAATAAAACTTCATTCAAATTTTTTTACATAACTAGAAAAAAGTCATTTGGTAGACAAAAGAAATGCACCCACATTTATATTCTACGAGATTTTAAAAAATAGGGGTTTTTGTGCATAAGTTCCTCACTAACCATCTTTATTATTTTAGGTTCAGGGTTATATCTCTTTCGCCAATATACACATCCCTTTAATATGTATTATAAATAAAGAAAAAAATAATGTATATGACAAAATTACCTCCAACCCTCTACACCCAATTCTTAATTGTAACCCCAATTTAATCAATTTTTACCACAAAAATGCAATTTTGAATTTTTGTTAAAACTTTTTTTTTCAAAAATTATTTTTTTGCCGCCGATTTCCAAGGTTGACCAGACAGTCAACGCTAGTCTCCGGCGTTGAATTTTTGATTATTTTTTATTTTTATTTTTTTCTGGTCTGTTTTTTTCACCGCCGATTTCAGGCGTAGGCTCTTTTAGTGGTTTTTTTTTCATTTTTTTACGTCCACCGCTAAACGTTGATCGGAATTGTGCTGTCATTAACAGTAATTATACTGTCAGTAACAATAAATTAACGTATTACGAGAGGCAACTGTAGAGAGAAGTGAGATAAAAAGAAGTATTGTAGGAGAAAAATATGTGTAGTTTGATTTGGGGCAAAAATTCTTTGAAATTAATTGAGTAAATAAAACAATAAAAGTAAAGTAACCTGAACTGAAAAAAGATAAAAAGGGAAACGAAGTTACGTCTTCTGATTTCATAATTAATCTTAGGAACTAATTGAGTGAATAAATTAATAATAGGAGCCAGCAATTAATTCCATATATTTGCGGAAAATAATAAGAGTCAATAATTAAATAGGGATTATTTGAGAAAACCCCCTCATATGCATTTTATCATTAGACTAGATCCATTTTTTTTACTCTTTTTTTAGATAAATCCAATTGTATTTTATTAAGCAAATTATATTATTAATAACCTATTTTACCCTTTCTCAATTTCTTTAACCTAACGACATTTCTCATATAGCCGTGTCTCTCGTTTCTCTTCTCTCTCCCTTCTTTGAACTCTGCACAACCCACGCTCGCACCTCGTCGCCCCATCATCTCCAGCCTCCTCCTCGGCGAGATCTCCCACCGGCCGTCCCTCTCTTTTCCCTCCAACACCGGCACCGCAAATTATCTCTATGAATCTCCTTCTCTCTCTCAATAACTACCCATAATCTCTCTTTGATTCCCTCTTCCGTCTCTTTCCTATGCAATGTTTCTTCCATCACGGCGGCGGAAGTTGGGGCAATTTCCAGCCCCTGGAATTCTCTATTTCAATACAGTGTTTTTTTGCTGGGAGCGCATCATCAACTTTCAAGGTTAACATTTAATTGTATTCGCAACAGTTGTAGAATCCATATAGAATTTAAGAAGTTTGGAGATGAAATCAAGAGTTTTTGTATAAAAGCAATTCAGATTTTTTACTGGAAGGTGGTGGTGATGTAGTAGCAGGAACCAATTAAACACATATTTGGCCCCTCTCTTGTTAAGACAAGATGACTTTTTTTTATATAATTATTGTTTGGTACGGTGATGAATGGTAATTAGAATTTGTGTGTGAATTAGATTATGGTGTGACAGGGGTAAAGAAAGATGTGAGCATAGAGAATTTGAATGATGGTTTTGGATCTTTTGGTAAAAGATCAGTGCAATGGGCCATTACATTAATATTTTTCTAATTGTTTTGTAGTGGAATATGTTAATAATTTGGTGGATTTTAATATTTTTTTGTAATGGATTTGGATGAGATTGTAGTAGATTTAAAATTCTTGCTTTGTAACCTGATTTTTTGTTTTGAATGAATTAAATTTACACGTTGTTGTCTTCTTTTTTTTCGGTTCAGGTTCTTGCACAAGTGGAGTGATGGCAACAAGTGGGACGAGGTTGGGTGATGCTCGGGTGACTCTACTATTGTTTGTAATGACATTTTTTATTAAATGGGATTTTCGTAGTGGATTTAGTCAAGTTTTTAGTGGATTTTCTCTTTGTAAAGGGGATCTTTTGTAGTTGATTTCTATATTTTTGTAGTGGTTTTTGATGAACTTGTAGTGGATTTCACACAAAGTATACTTGATGCAGGCGCGAGTAATAGAGAAGGGGTATCGATGCGCTTATAGTAAATAGTGGTTTTCGAATTCTCAAGCGACATTAAATAGTGGATTACGTTAGAGAGATAGGGGTTGCAGTGAATAGTGGATTTCAAACAGTGAATAGTGGATTTCGAATAGTGGATTTTAAATTCGGGCTGTGAAACAGTGAATAGTGGATTTCGAATAGTGGATTTTAAATTCAGGCAGTTAAACAGTGAATAGTGGATTTCGAACAGTGAATTTTAAATTCACGGAGTTAAACAGTGAATAGTGGATTTCGAATAGTGAATATTAAGCTTATAATGGATTTTCGTAACGAACTACGTTAATACATAGTGGTTTTCGATAAGTTTATAATGAATTTTTGTAATGTAATACATTAATTACATAGCGGTTTTCGTTAATTACATAGTGGTTTTCGATAAGTTTACAATGATTTTTTTGTAATGGAATAAATACATTAATTACATAGTGATTTTCGTTAATTACATAGTGGTTTTCGATAAGTTTATAGTGGATTTCAATTGTTAAAAACTTTGTTTTTTAAATCAAAATGTCAAAAGAGAATTTAAAAAAAAAATCAAAATTAAAAATCAATTTTTAAAACGAAAATATTTTTTTAAAGAAAATCAAAATTTAATAATTTTCTTATAAAAAACGCTTCAGAATAAAAAAATAAATAAATAAATAAATAAAAAACACACAGTTTAATCAAAATTTTAAAAAATAATTTCTGCAAAAAAAAAAAAAAAAAAAGTCAACAAAAAACAGAATTAAAAAAAACGTAATTTCTTTTAATTGAAATGGCATAAGATTTTTTGAGAGATTTTGGGGATTAGGCAGATTTTTAGGGGAGTTATTTTGGGAAAATAAATTAAACATTAAAATTAAAAAATACACTACAAGGGTAATATAAGTATTTTGCTATGGGAGGGGGTTATCTCAAAAATGGAATTATTAATTGGACTTATCCCTCTTAGCAAATTGAGTGAGGGGTTTATGTCATATAACCCCAATTAAATATTGTTAAAATTAATTGAGTAAATAAACCATTAATAGGAACTAATAATTAATTGCATAGATTCGAGACAAAAGAATAGAAGCAAATAATAAAATATTACAAAACTAAATATATTAAATAAATGACAATTAAAACCGTCAAATGAACGGGAAAAAACCCTAAAGTTTACCAGGAGCAACCTTACATTAATTAATAAGATTGTTAACACAATAATTTAGGGACCCCCAAAAAAAGAAAAGAAAAGTTCAACTCCGGAAATTGACTGAAAACGGAAAATCAGAAAAAATATATATTACTTTTTGAAAAAACAAAATTCAATAAATTATGAAAATGGACTTAATGTGATATATTTGTTCAAATTCGAGGTTAATGTGAATATTGGTGAAGTTAGAGTTTAATGTATAAAAATGATTTAAATTGCATCACGAGGGGTATCTTAAGAAGAAAAAAAAACATGGAGATTAGTGAAACTGTTTTTAGTCTAGAAATATGTACATTTCAGTCCTCCTGAGTGAAACTGTTTTTAGTCTTGGGATATGTACATTTAAGTATTCTTCTTGAGAGTTATATGCAAGGGGCTCTTTGAAAGAACCCCTCATTATTTTATTTTTTTAATGGAGAGAGGTCCAAAATATTTTAGTTCATTTGAGAAAAGCTCACACCCATTTTGAGTCATTATGTTTTTCAACTTTGCCCCCGCCCGCCACATCATCACTGGGTCACGCGCTCAGCGATTTTTTTTTTCCGTTTTTTTTCCCCTTCTTTTCTGTATCAGTTTCCTTAATAGACTATGAAGCATAGTCGATTAGCCTTAATCGACTATGCTTCAAAGTTGATTAAGGAAAATCTTTAATTTTTTTAATTCTTTTTTTTGTTTTTTAATTTTTTTTTCTATATCAGGTATATTAATCGACTATGATGAAGCATAGTCGATTAAGAATCTGCTACTAAACATAACAAATCACAATTGCGAAAAAAATGCAAAATCAACTATATTTTACAAAAAACAAAAAATATACAAACATTATAATTGATTTATACACTTGGAATCAATAAACAAAAAAATCAAAAAAAAAATGGAGTCGATCAACCTTAATCGACTGCCAGTACATAGTCGATTATCTTAATCGACTATTGAACATGTACATAGCTGATTAAGGTTTCAGCCTGCGCGAAATTCTCTACACGTGTCGTCCTCCCTCCGATCCAAAAAAAAACTCAAAATCGGTCTCCCCATCGTCATCACACCGCCGGACTTGGTGGGAGTTTTCTTTTCCCCTTGGCTGAAAATTTAAATGCCATAATTACAGTAAAGAAGAGAGAAATGAGAGCATATATTCAGATTTGTTTATGAATTACATGTTCATAGCGAAGAACTGTACTCCTTGGCGGCGGCGGCGGAGCAAACCACCACCCGCGGGCCACCACCGACGACTTCAAGCACATTAGTTGCGAGAATGTCTCCAGTCCCCGCATAGTTCCCCATGGGGTTTCTGCGGTCAGAACAACGACGGCGGCGGTGGAGGGGATGTCGAGCGTGTACGACTTGTTGGCGTCATGTGCAGGCGCGGCGGTGGTATCGGCGACTGTGATTGTGAGGGTTTTGAGCGGCGAAGACGAAGTGAGGTTGAGTGGTGGAACGACGAAGGGACGGTGGTAGTCGATGAAGATCGGCGGCGATAGCGGTGGACGGCGGGGGAGAGGCAGTGGTGGTGGTGCGGAAAAATGAGAGAGAAATTAGGGTTTCAAAATAGTATATTGACAATTAAGGGTAGATTTGAAATTATAAAAATAATACTTGGTGGAATACTAACACTAACAATAAAATACAATCAAGAAAGTGGTAGTTTGCGTGGTTTAGATTAAGAAACCCCACTTGCATATTATTTACAAAACTAACAATAAAACACATATTAATTACAACACTCACAATAAAATACAATCAAGAACACAAGTTTGTATCATCTTCTGAAGATTTTGTTCATGTTTTTGAACATTGGTGACTTCACTCGAACTACCTTTATATAAAAAATAAGTCTGATTTAAAACATTTAATCCATTCACAATATCGTTTTCTATTCCATCAAAATATAATCGAAAACAAAATAGGACATATCATTCATTAGTTAGTAAGCATGAGACACCCTTAGTACGATTTCCCTCCCAACTATACTTTATACATACTTGTAAACACAATAATAATCATCGTTGACACGAAAAGTATTCTGATCACGCTTATTTAGAACTAATTCTTCCCATTAATTAATCTACAGATTACCGTAAGTGACAACAGTAACTATCAAATCTGAAATACGTTGAAAACCATAAAAAAAATTGAGACTCGCAATACTTTCGCTATTAAGTATTACATCGGTAAGACATGCTGCAGTCAGCATAACGTAACTACAGTCATATATCTATGTGAGCAATACTTTTTTTTTTTCTTTTTTATAATTGTAGCATAGATCGAATTCTTAGATTTAAATAGTTAGGAAACTTCCAGTTGAAAATCCCCGAACGACCGTGATGCCTAACTTATCTAGTACAAGCTTCATCTGCACGAAGGTAAGTTGTTACTGAGTGTGGCTATAATTGTTCAACATGCTGCTTTATCACATCGGGGCAGGAATGAGCTTGAAGGAGTTCCAATCGTGAGAAAGGCGGCGCAAACTGTAATACATAGTCTTCATCTGCACCCATACATACAACAAAGAGATTCAAATTCGATGGCCTCTTTTTACAAAAATAAATAAATAAAAAATTGCTCTGTTTTCTGAAAGATATGAAAAATGAAAGAAAACACAAGTCTCGCTGCCAATTTTTTTTATTTTTTTCATTTACTTATTTTCGGCAATTAAACGATTCCAATTTCAAATGGCCAAGACAGACTGAATTTAAAGGTTCTTACTCTCTTTGACTGTCCCGTAAAGCCAGCACAAGACCTCGTCAGCAAACGCCAAGCACACTCCTCCCTGGCACAAATTCCAAGAAAAATAATAAGTCACAATTTGCCAAAAATTCAATACCTTCTGAAATACAGACGATGCTTAGTTTGCTGGAGAAATAAAATCTACCTGCCAATAATTTTTCATCTTGACTCTGTGTGTTATGTCCTTGGTTCTTAATCTTTCTGTACGGACAAGTACGCCGGCATCATCTCTGAAATAACAGCCAATCAAAATGTGATTGATATACACAAAAGTAACAAGAAATGGACAAATTTTATCTTTGTGGTTATTAATTAGGTTCGATAGTAGTATTATAACAATCTAATCAAGGATTAGCTGTAAAGAGATAGGCAATACCTGTACCCGATCACAATATAAGGTACACCAGCAAGGAATGATTGGATCTGGCACCATAAATTAATAGCATTATAAAACCCGTCAAAACAAAATATACATAATTAAAATCATACTGTACTTTCTGCGCAGACAAAGCAACAGAAGATTTACACTTTGAAAGAAGATCATTTTTTATCATCTTTTATTACAGGAAGACAAATGCCTAACAAACCAAATTTGTGCAACTTATCCATAGTTAATCAAGTTTGACAATCAATTTGTTCTTATAGCAAGAAAGAACTGTATAGGAATTTAGTTAGCAAATACACATCCTCGGCCAGAGCAACAAGTTTTGAGTGCAATATCATCCAAAGAGAGTAAGAGATTCTAAAAGCCTACGATTAGAGAATCCTTTTTTAAATTGCTTGCCATCATAAGAATCGATTCATTTCACTCTTCAAAATAAACCTTAATTATTGGCCTTCAAAAGTGAAAAGGGTTTGAATGTTAGTCAGCCTTACTAGTAAGCATTATTAAGGATTTAAAGGAACAAAAACTTGTCAGCAAATTAAATCCTCTTTCCAATTGACTAAAATAACGTATTAAGAACAATTTTTAGGAAGGAATAGATTGAATTGTAGCACTAGTCAGTAGAGCTCTTCAGAATAATCTTTTTTACCATATATTAAACAGGCATTCATAGTAATACAGCCAAAGTGGTTATAAATCCAGTAGAAATAATTTTCGAGTTTTACACATTCGAGGATAAGAATTCTGCAAAGCGACGTCCTATACCTCAACTACCTATATCTAAGTTATTCCAAAATGAATCTCTACTATCATTTAAATGGAACCCTCCACCTTTCGATCTATAGAAGTCCCTAATTCTTGGTGATATTCTTAAACATCAAAGTCAAGGAATGAAAAAGAGATTTCTCCAAACAAGTTTCCTTTATTAGCTCAAAAGTCAAATAATATAATTAGTTACTATCACCGGCAGTAAATGGGGGAAATAAATAGTGGCATATGCTGGAGAGTAATTAGTAATTTATCTTTAATGCACAGGGAAGCTGGTTTGTAGAGGGGCTAATCGAGCAGATTTTCTAAGTTAACCTAGATACACTTTTCATCTGAGAAAAAAATAGATTTTACACAATGTTCATTTAACAGCACTACAGGGAAAAAAACACCAAAAGAAATGAACAAGAGAAGAAAGGGAACGGCTTTATAAATGTGAAAGGAAGAAATTCATTATAATATTTGACAATGCATATTACCCAGAACTTAAGCAATTTCTCCCTCTCGTATCTTTCTTCAGTGTGATAATCTAACTGTAGAAGCACAAATGAAAGAGATCATAGTTATAACCTAGATACGCAAGCTAGAACAATGAACAAAGAGAAAATCAAACACTAATGCCAACCTCACGACTTGTTTTTAGTTCCACATAGAATCTCCTGCCCTCGTCGGTTGAATCGCAGCAATCCATTTCAGCACCCATGAGTATCCGATGAGCTCCTAATTTGGTTTTAATCACAGCACAATATTCGACATTAGCATCAACGTGATGTATCCCTTCTCCATCAGCTCTTGTTGGATCTTCTGTCGCCAGAGCCTCGAACGCATAGCCCCAATAACACCTATGATTTGATAGGACAATAAAAATTGGATTTAATGGATTGGAATCCTCATATATAAATAAAGAAATAAAATTTGATGCATTCCTATAGACTATAATCGAGCTACGTCGAGCCTATTAGAGCTGAGCTTAATATCTACATTGAATACGAGGAAATACTCCAGCTCAATATTCGTAAAATGAGCTTCCATAGGAGAATTAGCAAGAGGTCGATAGACAATGTGTATAATAGAAAATTATATGGACAACCATCAACTTCTATTACTTTCTGGATATTCGAAGCGAAGATTCTCAATACTAGAAATATGAACTTTCTCACTACCCATCCATATTTCCGTTCACCGCCTCTACTTCCAATCTCTAACCCCCACAACTAAAAAATCAAACGATAAAGTAGCACGTACAAGAAAGAGAGATTTCAAGAATAATATAACAACACATGTAGTGCTGTACCTTCGTTTATCGAGTTCATTTTGGGGCCTTTCCGGCAATTTATGCACATCGAGATAGACTACTCCATTCCTTTTATGCACACCCATTTCCCAAGGCTCATGCCTCATATAAGCAGTAGCCATAATCTAAAGATGAAACAGATCAAAAAGTAAGTCTCAGAATAAGTTGCAGGACACTCTTAATATCATAAAAAAATCAAACCTATTAAATCCTACGAAGGAGAGTGACATGAAACTAAACTCACTATGGTCCTTTGGTTTCACAGAAAATGGGGAAAACAGAAGAATAGGGGTACATTTTTCCAGTTGTTTGATTGCACTGAAAATTCAAAGTAAATTTACTAAAATTAAAGGAAAGGCTGAGAGAACATAACACAATGTACAAGTTATCTTAAAAATTGATAAAAAGGCCAACTATTTGTGCATAGCAGGACACTTAGGGAAAACAATAAAAAATTTAGTTATCGAAATTAGAGATATATGAATTACCATTTATTTGCTCATATAATAATATTAACTTAGATTCATCTCTTTATTTAGAGATAATATTCTTTTAACTATCACATACAGATAATTATGCAATCAGTTATTCCCCGTGATAATTTTCCTCGAAACTCAAATTCTCACTCTTCTTAATTTCTATCTTCTGTGGAACCAAAAAGAGCACAAAAGGGGTTAGAGAATGCTATTGTTGAAAAAGAAAGAAGCCCAGATCGACTTCTTTGAGAATCCATCTTCTAAAATCTGGTCTCTTTGTATCAAATTTAATATTGGAAGAAGTATTTTCATGGATTTCAATTAGAACCATGTATAAGGTGGGCTAAGTGATATAACTTGTGTGGGTTAGATACATTAACTAATGCATATATTGTGAAAAAATTGGACCAAGGTGGGCTTGAGTCCACCCTGCTCCTAAGCAAGATTCGCCATTGCGTACAATAATGCAAGTACCAATAGGAAAAACACAGCATCAGAAAGAAGAACCGAGAATTACCTTGTTAAGGTTGTTACGATACGTCTGCAGAGTAAAAGAAGACAGAAAGATAAAATGTTAACCGCTTGGGAGAATCTTCTTAAACTTCTTAAATGCGTAAAAGCTGAATATGTTGCATAGTCTTACCACAAAGTGCATGTTTTGAAGGGGTATATTTTTGTTTCTAATTGCAGCAAGAAGGTCACCAAAGCCGTCAGAGCCCAGTTCTGGTGTGAACATAAAAAACAATTGACACATTTCCAAATTTACGATTGCAAACCAGATTCAAAAACACAAATAGGACTTGAGGGGAAAAATATGGTACTCATGCAAACTCTAGTTCAGCATACCTTTCTTGGGAATGAAAGTATTAAAACCCTCATTGAGGTCGCTTCCAATATCTTCAGTTATGAGCCGCTTAAACAGCCTCTAGCAAGAGAAAAAATTGGTCTATGTGAGCTGATAATCAACATGAAGTGAAACTCTAAGAAAATGGAAAAGAGAGGCTCACCACACCACGATCATCAAAGTAGACATCCCCACCTTCTACACGACTGTAGCAAGCAAGTTCACATGGCTACTCTTGCACATAGAAAATCTTAAATGGATAAGACAATTCAACTAAAATTATTCTATAAAGTATGTTGCGCAGATATATGAAATCACATGGATGCATAAATCTTCCTTTCTCAGATTCAAAGTGGCAAATCCTTATTTATTTGAACATATCTTTTCCTTCCTTTTTTCATGTGGAGGTGGTTGGGTGGGTTGGGGGGGGGGGGGGGGGGGTGCGTGGGGGGGGGTTTGGTTTAGCTTCAGGGTTGCGGTGGCTAAAGAGTGTAGGTCAAAGCCATGGATGTATCAGGAGCAATAACCTCAGATGCGTGCCAAATATCAGTGGGTTATTTATAACACAATTTATTGATGGAAAGCCAATTAGGGAACCAGTTAAATGTTACACAAAATTTGGCTATAATATTCTTGCATTTCTTTTTTTTCGTGGCTTAGAAAATTATATTACATTTAATGATGACATTAACCCAAAACACAGAAACTAAAAACAAATGTCCCTCTCAAATCCTCTATACATATATCTACTTTCCATATTTTGTTTCGACGGCTATTTGCAGATCACACTTCACTCACACACATTGCGATTATCATATCTAACCAGCAATTAATGCTTTACTAGATCATCAATTTTGACGTAAAGTATATAGAAGAGGCAACAGATAGCAGCCAAACTAACAGAATGTTGGCCGATGTCAGTATATTGTGAGATTTAATCCTCCTGAGGCCTCATAAATACCGGAAAGATATGAATCATAAGAAATATACTCAATGCTTTAACAATAAAATTAACCAAACAGTATTTTTCCAGAGATACAATCAGGTTATCCATATTTACAAATACAGGGGTGGGGTGATTTGGCTCTGTGAAGATTTGGCAGCTTTCAAGACGGGATACAAATCGTTACCTCTTGAAAAGCAATGGATTTTCTGGCTAATGTTTCCTCACTCTTTGAGAATTTCAACTCAGAAACAAAACGTTCATCACGATGCCCATTGTAGAAGTTATTACCATAACCATAGTTTTGCCTTTGTTGATAAGATCCAGGGCGGGGAAGCAGACCACGCCCTCTATCATTCTGCCACCGCCCACGCCCAAAACCCCCTCTTGGCTGATTGTTTGTATTGCGCAGTGGGGGCAGAACTATACATACAATAGAAGAATGAATACATAAAGAAACGTGAAAGAGACAGATTCTATAGAAATATAATCAAGCATTATTAATTCATTCACTGAGATTGTCCTTCCTATGCATACATAAAATACAAAAGTAAAAAAAAAAAAAGTACATACGCCATTCTGCTCTCAAAGAGAGGGATGAAGTTTATAGTCAACCTCTACTACCTCTCGGATAGTTTTCTTTCCAACACTTCTATGAGATGAGTCTAATATTAATATTCTTCATATTTAAAGTTTACCACGCAGTTTCTCAAAGCCCCAAATTTAGGGCCTCATTTTGTACCGAATTCACACATTTTGAAGTAACTAAAACACTGAATTCTGATTTGAAAACGAAACTCGACTCTCCAACAGTGAATTCCTAGCAAACGGAAAATTTAACTTGAGTTGTGTTAAAATCATAGAATGTATATTACATTTATAATATATAACATGCAACACGGATATTTTCTTTCGCCTTTTTTTCTAAATATTCATATTAGCATGACGATATAGTTCCGACAGAGTACCATTCGATAGTTAGCCAACACGACTAACGCAAAATTTATCTGAGCAATCAATCCTGTTTTTTTTTTACAATGACAAAAATTCAACCAAAATTATAAAAAACATTGCAGAACACAACTAATGCAAATAGCAGAATCAAAACAATGTACCATATACCTGGTATAGGGTGAGTACTGGCGGCAGGTGTTTTGACATAATCGTCATTATCAGAGCCAAAAAGATCTCCCCTATCGTCATTCTCCTCCGCCGCCTCGTCGTCGTTCTCCGAATAGTGACTGTTGCCCTCATCGTTGTAATTGTAAGTGCGGTTACCGTGTGAAGAAGGCCTCACGTCATTGTCCTCTTCGCTGTTGTTGTTGCTGCTGCTGCTGCGATTGGACGAGGAGGAAGTAGACGACGAACCGGAGGAATGGCCGGAGGATGAGGAGGAAGACGACGGCGAAGATGACGACTGCGGCTCTTTATCTTGTTGCTGCTCTTCTTCCTCGCCATCGCCGTTGGTGTAATTGTTCTTCTTGCTGCTTTCCTCCTCCGCCTCCGCCTCCTCGTCGGATTCTCCGAATAAATTTATGGTTTGCTCGGCTATGTCCATGTTTAATTCTCTGCTGCAGGTGTGTTCTTAGTGTTTTCTGTCAGACGAATTACAGTGTGGATCGAAGAAGAAGAAGGGTCTGGAGAGGGGAATTAGGGCTCGGAGGATTGAAACGACGGCGTTTTGGAGATGAGAAATTTCAAAGAATGGGCTTGGGCTTAAGCAAAAAAAAATTAGAAAAAGTTTAAAAAAATAAATAAAGGAATATGTATCAAAATAAAAATGGAATATTATTTGCTCTGTTTTCTTACTTTTGTTTCAATACATAAAACTTTTTTCCTTCTTGTAGATAAAATTTAAAAAAAAAACAAAAAATTAACATCTCGTGGATACCAGTTGATCGGTGTTCTTGGGTTGGGCTTTTGTAGGCATTCGACCTAAAATTGATTAAAAGAAAATTCGGACTTGTGCTGAAGTTAGCATTCCCATGGTCAAGTTAATGATTTTTCTTTTACGGAGAAATTGTTCTTGCAATTTATGAACTATTAGGGTGCATTTGGATGGAGGGATTTGGGGGAGGGATTTCAAATCCATAATAACAAATCCATCGGACTTGTTTGGATTGAGGGATTTGGAGATGGATTTCAAATCCCCACCCCTCCTTTTTAGTTGATTTTGGAGCAATAGTGATGGATTTCAAATGACTCCAAAATTGGAGTCATTTCAAATCCATTCCCCAAATCAAATCCCTCCCCAAATCCCTCCATCCAAATGGACCCTTAGCTTTTTTGGTTAAGGTTCTTACCTTGCATGGTTTGCATTTGTTTGGTATTTATAGGCAGACATTCGGATGTCAGTTTCAATACATGTGGGCCCCCCATGCTTCTATGATTCGTTAATCTCCTCAAAATCGAGGCTCATAATCTCGGACAATAAATACACGCAATTTGTCTGCTTGATGCTCTCGTCGTACCTAAGCGCGACCACCCGTCCCTCCACATTGGCACCTAATATCATCTGGACATCGTGGAGAGTGATAGTCATCTATCTCTCTCCACGACATATGGAAGTTGTTCGTCTCCAGCTGCCACCGCTCCACGAATGGAAACAACAGCAGACCATCTATGCGCGGTAGGAAACAGCGAGCTAGGGGGTACAAACCGGTCATCCGCAGAAAATGATTGTATGCAGTGACATCTATGCCTAACTGGGCCAAGGCATCTCCAATCTTCTCGTAGTTGAAATGGGTAAGGAAGTTGATACGGGACTCCACTCGTCCAACCGGACGTTACTGCAATCATTTATTTAGAACACATATTAGTTAATCAACTATTAAAATATTTTTATATAAGATACAAAAATTATATATTAAAATTAAAACAAGTAATTAACTTACTTCTCCGATCCCCTCGAAATATATGCCGCTATGTGCGACTTGAAACTCGGAATCAAAGACGGATCCCGCGGGCCTCCCGGAAATAGACCATCTAGCACATACGGATTGACACGACTATGACTTCGACCACCACGAGCTCCACGGCCCCGTGCTCGGCCTCCACGAGCTACAACCTTAGTCTCGTGAACGGGGTCCACCGCATCCTCCTCCTCCTCCATAGCATGGGAAGGCTAAACATCGGGATGTGCAACCGATGATCTGACTTCACCAGCTCTCTCAGCCTCTCGCCTACGTCGTGTAGACATAGTCATGTCCTCGCGCTCTTGATGCCCGGCCTCATCACAAACTGCTTGCATAATTGCCTTTGACTTGCATTTGCCTGCCATCTGTTAAATAAGACACTAAACACGTCAGTCTAAATAATAATAAAAAAAAAAAAAAAAAACTGAAATTTTGCTCTCAGAAAAAGTGACGAAATTTATGCTTATATTTCGTGATTTTATCACGAAATAGAAGCATAAATTTCGTATATATTTCCACGAAATAAGAGCAAAATGCCAGAAACACACAGTTTTCGTGCATAGTACTCACGAAAGAAAATTAGTTTTGTGAGTTTTTGCACGAAACGTAAAAGGAAAAAAAGATTGTCAGAATTTCGTGAAAAAAAATCACGAAATTAGCTCTTTAATTTCGTGATTTTTTTCACGAAACGCATATTTATTTTTGAAAAGTTTCGAACTATTGAAAACGTGCAGATTTTTGACGAAATTTGTTAATATACTACTATAAAACATTAGATTAACGAAATGGAGTTTGAGTTTTACCTTAAATCGTTGTTGGATTGCTCGTTTAATCGGCGGGAATTCGAAGGGTGTTGGAGAGGGCTTGAGAGGATTTTGAATTTTTTTAAGAAAAGTTACAAATGAATCTAAAGTTTAGTGCAAGGTGGTAAAAGTTGCACTATTAATAGCATTTCAGTTTATTCAAACATCATTAGAAACATGTTTTACGGTCATTATGCAGTTAATTATTATTATACAAAATAGATTAGAATGTTAAAATAGTAACAATATCGCAGTTTATATGTGAATGTATATATATGGTTTTATATGAAAACATATACACGGGTTACACATAATGTATACCTCGTGTTCACGTAAACATAGACAATGTCCTTACATAACGTACGTTCATAAATCGAGTGTTTTGGAGTCTAAAATGAACAAATAATATCATATTAGATGTCCATGAGATTTTTTTTTTTGAAAAGTATGCGTCCATGAGTCATAATGTGCAAAAATATGTATATTGAGTTCATCGAATTGCGTGTTCTTTAGAGAATGGTCACTTCTATCTACAATGCATTCCTACTTCAACACATTTAACTCAATATGGATAAACCATTCAATTTGGTAGCATCTCAAACTCCAAAATATGCTAATTGACATAAGGGTAGTATTGAGAATAAAAATTTTAGGGTGTTATCACGAATAAAGATTTAAGGGGTGGCATATCACCATTTCTTGGCGATATGAGGGGCTTATTGCTAATGACCCAAAAAAAAAAAGATATGCACGAGTGGACACAACTTTGATATTTCAAGTTATCTAAAACTTAAAATGTAATTTATTCATGCATAATTTTATCACACAACATCTAATCAGACTGATTCTAGTTGGACTAAGACTGATTCTAGTTGGACTAAAAAGCTAATTCAAACAATACGATATTCGCGTTTTGAATTTTGCCAAAATCAAACTAAAAAAGAGTGAAATCACGTTCAAAGTCAAAACATTATTAGTAAGAGGGTGTTTATCTAAGCTTATAAGCTGTTAAAAGGAGCTTATTAAATATTTAAGAACTTATATGCTCTTCTAAAGTGTTTGGTAATTTTTTTTTAAAAGATATTAAAATTTCAAAATATAAGCTGTTGGAGAGCAAATAATTTTTTTTTTTAAAAGTAAGTTTACCCCACATGAGTTATAATGTGCAAACATATGTATATTGGGTTCATCGAATTGCGTGTTCTTTAGAGAATGGTCACTTATATCTACAATGCATTCCTACTTCAACACTTTTAACTCAATATGGATAAATCATTCAACTTGGTAGCATCTCAAACTCCAAAATATGCTAATTGGCATAACGGTGGTATTGAGAATAAAAAATTTAGGGGGTTATCACAAATAAAGATTTAAGGGGTGGCATATCACCATTTCTTAGGGATATGAGGGGCTTATTGCTAATGACCCAAAAAAAAAAGATATGCACGAGTGGACACAACTTTGATATTTTAAGTTATCTAAAATTTAAAATGTAATTTATTCATGCATAATTTTATCACACAACATCCAATCCGACTGATTTTACTTAGATTAAAAAGTTAACTCAAACAATTACGATATTCACGTTTTGAATTTTACCAAAATCAAACTAAAAAAGAGCCAAATCACGTTCAAAATCAAAACATTATTAGTAAGAGGGTGTTTAGTTAAGCTTATAAGCTGTTAAAACGAGTTTATTAAATATTTAAGAACTTATAAGCTCTTCTAAAGTGTTTGGTAATTTTTTTTTTAAAAAGATATTAAAAATTCAAAATATAAGCTGTTGGAGAGCAAATAAAAATATTTTTTTTAAAAATACGTTTACCCCACATTTTTATTAAGATCTTATAATGAGATAACAACTTCAAAAAATACTTCTGAAAAATAAAAGATAACAACTTATCAACTCTTAAAATAGCTTATGAGATGTAAAAGCAATTATTTGATATAAACTTAGCAAACAGACTCTAAATGAAATGACATTTAAATATTCAAATCACATTTAACATTTCAAAAATACAAATTACTTAAAAAGTAGGGCACTTTACAAATAAGCCCATCAAATAAGTTTGTCGGTCTCCGACGTTGATTTTTTTTTTTTCTTGATTTTTTCGCAAGTTTCCGGCGTTGACCTGGTCAATGCTGATCTCCGGCGTTGACTTTTTCGATTTTTTTATTTTTTTTTCCTTTAACATCTTTTTGCTCTCCATTTAAACAACAATATTATTGTGGTTGACAGTAATATTAACCAATAACAATATTACTGTTAAACACAGTAAAATTAACTATAGTATAGTTTAACACAATAATATTACTATATTAATCTCCAGCACAGTAAAATTAACACAACATAAGTCATTATTATTGTCTAATATAGTAACATTACTATGTTGACCTTTTAACATATATAAACATAATAAAAAGCGAAAAGAATTAATATTACTGTGGTTGACAGTAATACTACTGTAACAACAGTAATATTACCGTCAACTACAATAATATTATTGTGTTTAAAGTAATATTACAATAATAGACAGTAATATTATTACGTTACCCCGTTAATAACTCAAACAAAACAAAAAAAACCAAAAAAAAATAATATTTATGTGGTTGACAGTAATATTATTGTGTTTACAGTTATTTTATTGTCAACGACAGTAATATAATTACGTTGACTTATTAACAAATCAAACAAAATGAATTAAAAAATAATAATAATAATATTGTCGTTGACTCTAATTGTACTGTCAACGACAGTACAATTGCATAAATGTACTGTCAACAACAGTATAATTACGTTAATGTATTGTCAACGACAGTATAATTACGTTATTTTACCGTCAATGACAGTATAATTACTGTTAATGACAGCACAATTACGATCAACGTTTAGCGGCGGGCGTAAAAACAAAACAGACCAGAAAAAAAAAAAAAAAAAAAAAAATATATATATATATCAAAATCAGATTTTTGTGGTCAAAATTGATTAAATTGGGATTACAATTCAAAATTGGATGTAAAAGGTTGGAGTAATTTTATCATATACATTAGTTATTCCTTTATTTATAATATATATTAAAAGAATGGGCTTAATGACGAAAGAGGTATAGCCCATGAACCTAGAATCATAAAAATAGTTGGTGAGGGTCTTATGCACAAAAACCCCTAAAAGGTAAACAATAGTTTCAAGTTTATATGCCCTTCCCGTGACTCTACGGTCTATTTTTAAGTACTTTGTCAATACTCAGTAAACTTTTGAAATAAACGGCTGCCAAATGAACAACATTTTATACAAAAGAAAAAAGAAGAGCAGACAACAAAACCAAAACCATGAAAGAGAAAAAACCCGAAATCTTCTGATCTCTTCTGTACAAATAAATTACAAAGTTTACACAATCGACTTCTCGCAAGAGAACTGAACTCTGGTTAGAATAAGAAGAGGCAGCAGCACAATATATGTTACAAAATCGAAGCTAATTAACCGCACTCGAGAACACCAAGAAAGAAGAAAAAAAAACACTAATACAACCACCAACTTAAGAAAAATAGAAACAAAAATAAAAAATATAAAAGAAATTCCTAAGAATTGTTCCACTCTCTGACTAACAAATCAATATACCAACCATGGAGAAGCAGGTAAGAAAAGTTCAACTCTACCAGCCTCCAAAAGAATATGCATCTAATCTTGCAAAATATATTCCCACAGAATAAACCAAATTCCACTTTTACCCCTTAATCAAACACTTGCTTTCCCTCCGTAAAAGATGCCAACACGGGTCCCACCACCAGCATAGAGAAACTTATCGAACACAGTGGCTATCTGATTTAGTTCATAGAATCTATAAACTAAGACCTTTTTTTCCCAATCAACCGATGATGGCATAATAAGCTGAAACGGACTAGAGCAACATGGTAAAAAATAATTGAGCGTCTAAATAAGCCTATGTTGACGCATACCCTTACCAAAGTGAGGCTGCATCAAACGAACATATAAACTATTCTTCGCCATAAGTGTATCGTGACTCCCTTCCTCCACGATTCGCCCACCGTTAAGTACAACTATATTATCAACGTGCCTCATCATAGCTGCTCTGTGTGCAATCAGAACGGTCGTTTTGTTCCCCATAACGAGAGTATCCAGAGCTTCCTGCACAACTCGACTCGACTCTGATTCGATGGACGAGCTAGCTTCATCTAACAACAAAATAGGTGCGTTTTTCAAAATAACTCTGGCAATAGCAATTCTTTGCTTTTGACCGGGGGTCAAATCCACACCCCTCATCCCAACATGTGTGTCGTAGCCGTGAGGCAAGCTGCTTATGAAATGATGAGCGTTTGCTATTCTGGCAGCTTCTTTCATCTCAGCTTCACTTGCGTTATGCCTCGCGTATATTATATTCTCTCTTATTGTTGTTGAGAATATGATTGGCTCCTGTTGAACGAGGCCTAAATGGTTCCTTAACCATCTCAGATTGTAAGATTTCAAATCTCGCCCGTCGAGTAATATCTGACCGGCAAGTGGATCGTAGAATCTTTCTATTAGAGATATGATGGTGCTTTTTCCGGACCCTGAAACACCAACCACTGCTACAGTTTGACCTCCGTTGACTTTGAGACTGAAATTGCTCAGTATGAAGACTTCGGGTCGAGTTGGATATGAAAAGTCAATGTTCTTTAATTCGATGCTTCCATAAACATTTGCGGGTTTCAAGGCTGAGTTATCATCAGGCTCGATCTTGGGGGTTCGATCGATTATTTCGAAGACAGATGTCAAAGACTTCCTTCTTTTAAGAATGTACGGAGCCAAACCAAAAGGCTCGACAAGTGCGAATGTTGCAAAAGAGAAGACCATGTACTCTTTCAGAGCTGTCGACAAAGGCATGTACCCCTTCTTGACAGAAAGAGCAGTGTACCAAAGGAGAAGAGCGTTACAAGCGAAAAGAAGGAACTGAGAGAAGCCAAATGCGAAACCAATTGCCATTCCTTGGAGAAAACTTTTCGTGAATATTTTCCGAAGTTGCACTCTGTAGAGCTCCATAACCTTGTTCCCAGCACAAAATGCCACGACGGTGTAAATATTTCTAACAGCATCCTCCAAGACCAAAGATGCCTTCCTATGCATTTCTTGGATACCCTTTGAAAATCCAGCAAGCCATAACTTCTGCAAGATTACAATGAGAATTCAGTTAAGTTTCAGGATGAATATAGGATATGTATATTCTGCTGATTGCAGAAGTTAGTAAAACACCATGAAGGTAATTTATTCCTTTCCTACCGATCAATGAGCTTCAAATACCAAAAGTGAAAAGGAATGTCATAATCTTTGGTTGGCTCTTATTAACCCCAAACTTGAGAAATTGTTTACTTATAGGTGGGAGCTACAATTGCCGCTTACCAAGTTCATTCTTAACTAAAAAGTGATTTAGTTGATTTGGATGTCCTTGTATACTTTCGACGTTTTAAGCACAGTTTCAAGTAACAGTCAGGAATATACATGTAACCATAACTATGGTGGAAGATAACCAACCAACCACTTTGCAAATTAGTGAGGTTGTTGTTAGCAATACCCATTACCACATAGGTTATGTAAGAGTTACTCTTGGGAGGCCATATACAACACATAGATACACTTGGTGCATACCTGTGCTGTAGCAGAAACCGCGAGAATGGGCAGAGTAGCTAAGGCCACAAGTGCCAACCGCCAATGCAGAAACATCCCAATGAGAACAGCAACTACAACAGCAGCACCGTCTTGTATGAATATCGAAAGCCGGTTGCTAAAAGCAGCTCTCACAAAAGTAGCATCATTGGCCAATCGCATAGACAGATTATCAGCACTATTCTCCTCCTCATCAAACCATCCAACTTCATTTCGAAGCATTGCTGTTGAAGAAGAGACTCAGAGTAAGTTCATCCATCAAGATAAAAACATATAGCATTCTACGAAAGCACAATAATGTTGGTAAACAATCACATACCTGAAAACATCATTCTTCGCACACGCTCAGTCATTTTCTCCCCCATTATACCAAAGTAGAAGTGCTGCAAGAAATTAGCAACCACTGTCACAACTCCCATGCCAGCAATGATTAAGCACCAATTGTTTATTTCCCGATGCTTCCCGTCTGCATGATGCTTCTCGTCTGTTTTATAATATGCTGTTACTATAAGTGAAATAACATAAGCAAGCAAAGGATTAAAAGAGCCAAATATTGCAGCGCCGGTGCTTCCCAGAACAGCATACAGCCATTCTGCAAGGCTAAGCTCTACAAGCCTCCAAAACGATGGCTCTTCCAGAGTCAATGTCCCCTTCTTTTCTTTCACAGGCGTCGGAATATTATCAAACTCAGTAGGTGGTCGACTAAATGTTTGTGAATGAGAACGTTCATTTTTAGGGTCAGAAGTCAAAAGAGGGGAAACAGGAGATTCAGGATCCGAAGAACTTTTTTGCCGCTGCGCAGAATGAACATCAATCTTGGGTAACTCTGGTAGTCTCATCTCAAAGCTATCCTGCCTTTTTATTGTTGGTTCTTTATTAGTCACATCCGTGTGAGCACCATTTTCATTCATTTCTTCTGGAGGTGGACTAAGAATTTGGGGAGATTCATGAGAGCTAAATGTAACATCGGCAGAACGGAACATGTGGAGGCCAGCAACTCTCTGGAGCGACGGTGACTTGGCCATTCTAGGGGATGATTGTTCTTGGTAGACGCGACTGCAGAAGAATCTTTCTCAATCTGAAACGTTGAACCTTCGTTGTAGGTTCTCATTGGCATCCTGAATGTACAAGTTGGACACTCTCATTAGTGCTATGCTATTCAATTAAGAAGAAATAAAAACGATGCATGATTCGTCTACTCATTTTAAAATCATTAGTTAGCTGATCAACTATACCTTCGTGGAAGTTTTGTAGCTTCTTCAGATTTGAGTAGTTCTGCGTAAAGGCCATCTAAGTTTATCAATTCTTCATGTGTACCCATTTCAACAAGTTGCCCTTCCTCCATCACGGCAATATAATCAGCATTTTTAATAAGACTTAACCGCCTCGCAATTATTATGGTCGATCTGCCCAACATGAGCACATCCAGAGCTTCTTGAACAGATCTTTCAGCTTCAAAATCAAGTCCACCAGTGACCTCATCAAGGAGCAGAATAGATGGATTCGACAGCACAGCCCTTGCAACAGAAAGTTTAATTTTCTGTTCCTCTGTCATAACCAGGGCGGTGCTACCAACCTGTAACGAACAAGAAAATTTAATTAATAGCAATTCGCTAATTGCAACCTCGAGAACAAAATTCCAGGATCGAATATAGATAATTAGGTGAAGCACCTGAGTATCGTATCCTTTATCCAGTGAGCTGATAAATGTATGTGCATGCGCTATTTTTGCAGCTTCTTCAATTTGATCCAAAGAGGCATTCCGTCCATAAGCAATGTTGTCTTTGATACTCAAACTCAGCAAGGCAGGTTCTTGAGTAACTAAACCAATTTGGCTTCTAAGCCACTCCAGTTTCAGATTTTTTATGTTTTCACCATCCAAAAGGACTTCTCCTGCAAGATAAAACGGGAAAGGAAAAAAAATAAGAATTTCGAAGTTTGTGAAATTAAATGAATGAGGTATAGTAGTAAAACCTAAGGTAGGATCATAAAACCGCTCCATCAGTGGTATGATGCTGCTTTTCCCAGAGCCATTTCTGCCAACAAGTGCTACAGCCTTTTTAGCTGGCACGGTTAGGTAAAACCCACTCAAAATCGGAATTTCAGGGCGAGAGAGATAGCTGAAATATACATTTCGAAACTCTATGTTTCCCTGAACAGAAGCAAGAGTAAGCCCGTCATGATTAACAGTGGAGGATGACCGACTTATCATCTCAAAAAGTCGGTATGCAGCAATTCTCCCTTGTTCAAAAGAATAGAAGTTTGTTGCAGCTTGATTCAGCCCACTATTAAACAAGAGTCAATTCATAAATAAGTAAAGTCACACACTAGGATGAAAGAAATAGAAATGGTGAAGATGCTTACAGGCCGCTCAATATAACAGCAAATAGGGCTGTTATAATTTCTCCCCCATGAACTCCATGTTTAAGAAGGGACCTTCCCACCCAAAGTTGCAAGGCACACGAACAGATTGCGAGCCCATAGGTGAAACCAAGTCCAAGCCCTTGAACAAGACTTATCAATATACCATATCTAAGTGTAGCTTGAAGTGAAGTTGCATATGAATATTTTGCCAAGGTTTCGTTGGTAAATGAATACAACGTTCTAATATAAGAAACTGCCTGTAAAATAAAGAAAGAAGTTAAGCCAGCAAACAGATGGAAGCATACTATTAAATGTTGATAACAGAAGCTTTTATCAGAACTTTTAATCATAAGCATGCATAATTACAGTAAATTGGTGCATATCTCTCAAATCACAAGATCATTAAGCCAGATCCCGGAGGTTACATTAGTCAACAACTCAACAAACAAACACATGGAACGGAACTTCTTTAAGGAACTTATATCTATTATAAACAATTTTCAAAACCTACCTAGAGACAACAAACACATGGAACTGGAACTTCTTCAAGGAACTTATTTCTATATATCAAATTTCTACTCCTACCTAGAGACAACTTGGTTATAGCATAAACCAATTCTCCAAAAAATAAGGAATTATGCATGCAACTCTCAGCAGCAAAGCAGAATGGAGGTCAAGAATCTGACCTGCTCTGCAATGCTTGCGGCTTCAGCATAAGCATCTTGGATATTTTCAGCAAGCCTATGGAGAAAGATATTTGATATTCCTCCAGCAGCAACTATTAATGGACCAGTGGCTAAAGTAATAAGGGCTATCTGCCAGCAGTTGACAAATCCAATCACAAGACCACCGAAGAAAGTAGCCATATTATGGATATAGTTTCCAACCTGCCAGGTCAGATGCATTCGCATATAAGAAAAAAATACTTTTACCCGTGAAAAAGGGCTAAAGACGTGCAAAAGAAAAATAACAGAAGAGGCTAACATACTTTTTCACTGAGAGCAGATTGAATGAGCAAAACATCACTCAATACTTGGCTCACGATATCTCCATTATTCCCATAAGTATCAAAAAAGCTCATGTCTTGATTAAGCAGAACTTGGACATATCTTGACCTTATCACAGCAGTCTGCCGTTCCCCAGTAAGTATCCAGCATGACACCTCTGTTACCAAAAGATACAATAGAAAAATTAAAAGAAAAGTAAATATTACAATAGAAGCCTGCAAAGGGAAAAGTATTGTATATGACAATGGCCGAAGACATCAGGCATTACTTACCAATCCAAGCCGCAACAAAAACTCCAGCCGCAATAAAAACAATGCTTAAAGCAAGCTGCAGGAATTCGAAAAGAGGATCAGTTTTGAATCAAACACTCCTCATAAGACACGTTATTTTTCCTTTTCATCCATGAAATAACTGAAGGGTGTGAACAAGGTCATCGTTACCTCAACATCTGACAAAAGGTTTACATAGCAAAATAAATTTTAAAAGGCTAACTGAGATCAGATGTATAGCATTCCATAAAACTAATTCATTTAAACTTATACATTATGTTATGATTTTTTATAAACAAACTTTCACTTATATTTATGCCTTCCAACTGAAACTAAATGCAATATTTCGTTGAGTTCCCTATTTACAGCCTAAAAGGTTCATCTGAAGTCCCCAACGTGATTAACTCCCGGCTCACCATGGCCAAATTGTAATCACACAATAAGTGTATATGCAAATACGCAAAATGATATCAGCAGCAGAATAATATTTTTTTGTGGAGGCAGGGGTTGTTTATGGTAAACCTGCAACTTTACCTTACAATTGCACTTTTTGGTTGATAACTCATCGATAAATTAATTAAATAGGGAAAAACCACTAATTAGGGATCTAGTTTAAGCTACTGGAACAAAATCAAAACTACCAAAACTATCAGTAAAGTATATCTCTAATAGTTAATTCTAGAAATAGCAAAGTGCTCTTCGAACATGTGTCTTTCAGAAATTGCAGTCATGCGACTTCAGAACTCACCAACATTGAACCATTTCAGATGACCCGCAGAAAAGAAAATCAAAAACTATGGAACTGAAATAACCACCATCTTGAATCACGCAAGTATTTTAATTCTAAATTGTGACATCTAGTAGTATTTCGTTTAGTGAATTGTCATTCATCGGCCTCTATGCTACAAAATAAAGGGTTAACAGAAATAAGCTACCCAAAATTCCCCTTACCTAGAGACCAAGATTTCCTTGAATTGTCGGAAGTAAATCCGAGAAGTGTAAGAATTTGTTAATTGTCGATAAGCCTAGAGTACCAGAATAGAAGAAATCGTCACATATACTAAGGAGAGGTGCTATTCCACCCTCAAATGCTCTCTTTACACCACAGTATTTTAAGCACCTAAAATAACATTACATACATCCTTCATAATTTTCATTTTTATACACCACCATATTTCATCCACCACCGTTACTCCCTCTTCTCTCTTATTTTATCTTCTTCTAGAAAACACGGCCTTTCTTGGGTTATAGAATTTTGGCTACCGTTCACCAAAATATGTTGACATAGTTGACTGATTTGGGCTGAAATTTGGTAGCTACCTCGTTATAGTATCAATAAAAAATGACACAGTAAGAATTGAATTATTTTTTTCATGCATATAAATCACTAGGAAACTCAACTAACACAACTAATTATAAGTGCTAATCAATCTTGAAAACTCAACTAACATAACTAATTATAAGAGCACTAAAAGAAAAAACCAAGAGAGCTGCATATAAGCACACACCATATAAACAGGTGAACTTTAATTAGAAGTTCAACATGTTTCCTGGGAACTAGTAGTAACACTCTCTTAAAAGGCCTTAAGAGCATCACACATTCTAATTATAGAAGCTATCATTTATCTATCCATAAAAATGTCCCACAACACCTATAGAAGAGATCGAACCATCCAGTCCCATGGAGATTCGTAGAACATCGTCAATCAATATCAAGTACGTAAACTAAGTCAACTGGCATCGTAATACAGGAATGAGCATTGCCAAAAGAGTCTGCATAGTTTTTGTCGCTAAATACTTGGAACTCAAGCAACCACTTAAACCATTAGGTTTTGAGACGACAGGAGTAATATCTAACATCATCTTACATCACTAGATTTATTTCCTAAAGTGATCCACAATCACACAATATTTACAATTTAAGTACTCATAGATCTGAATCATCAAACAATAACTACATCGAAGAAATCTAACAGATCATCTGCCATCCAATTATCCAAACAAAGACAAATTTTACAAGCTTTCCTCGGATCACGAAAGTAGCTAACAACAAAAGATGTAAAACAACCAATCATTAGAAGCAGTACCATAATCAATTTGCACCAGCTATAAATCCCAGAAATATATAGTCAACAAAATACCTGAATACCCCCCAATCATCAAACATATATTCATCGAAAAAAACTTGGGGGAACAATTAGGTTTTATGCAAGAACCAGTATAAGATTAATCATCATTCAAAGTACCTCATTGAACTTCTGGATGAGCTCATCAGATACGTCGGAACCATGGAAGCGGAGCAAGTGCACAATTTTCGCAAAGTAATGCAAGTACACAACAAGAGCAGTACCGTGGGCGGCGGCAGCGACAGACCCGACAAACATGAGAACCCAATCGAGGCGGTCAGCACAGGCGAAGAGCCTAGAGAAAGGCACAGCCGCCGGCGGAGGCTCCATCTCCTCCCCCTCAGCGTCCATCTCATCATCCACCTCCACCGGCTCAGCTTCCGCGGTGCCCATGTCTGTGTAGGGCGAAGGAGATTCCGGCGGCTCCGAAACTTCAGATACAGGCGTCAATGGCTGTATGTGCGGAGGCGACCACCCAAACAAACCCCTAGAAATCATCATCTTGCCGGAACTTGATTATTCAGTATACTAACCAACAGAAATTACTAAAATTACTAAAATTAAGCTCGCAGAATGGGGGTAGCCGCCGATTGCTGACTATTCTGAATTCCGAATCCCCAAAGCGAGAAAAACCGAAACCCTAGACTAGAGCATAGTAATCTCTTTACTGAAGTAGCCGATGCCTCGCTTCCCCATGAAATGAAGACTGAACTGAAAACCTAGATCAGACGAGATCGGGGATTAAACGGAAGAAGGAGTGCTGCTTTGTTGTTGTTTTTTTCTCTCTGTTACTTGTACGACGATATCAACGATTTAGTCGGAGAATGGACTCAGTCAAGGAAGGCGGGAGGAGTTGGGTTGACTCGGGAGGAGAAGATTACGTCAATTGGTTGTGTGCGGCGGCGCAAACGAAGAAGCTTCGGTGTCGAGACAGCGGTCGTCGGAGATTCGAAACAATAGAAAAGGAAGAAAAAAAATCAAAAAAAGAAGTTTGGGGAAAGTGAAAAAGCATATATGTATAATGAAGATACAGCTGTAGAAGTAGAACTGTACATGTGAGTGTGTGTGTGTAATTGTGTATATATATAATTATATATATATCCAGGCGAGATAAATAATAAATAAATAAATAAAATATCTTTTTGCTTGGTTTCTACTTTCAAGTTTTGAATTGGGCTAAAATTCATTTGTAGACTAGTCGTTCAGACTATGTAATTTGTATAGTAGCTCAAATTACAAAAATAAGCATAACTAATCATTCAAATTTTTTTTTATTTTATTTTTTAGGAAATGACCCAACCATGAGATAATGTTTAATTACGAAACAACGTTCTCTGTTTTCGTAATTACGACCATCCATGAGGCATTCGTCGTATAACAAATTTGCTCTTATGGAGTTACCGGTAATGAAATAATTAATATTTTGTGGAATATTGTCCAATGTACTGGTAGACATTTGTGCTAATCAAAGTCATGTTATACATGAAAATCGACTTTAGTCCATATTATTTCCACTAAATTAGTCCTCGAACTAACTACTTATACACTTTTTGTTCAATTTTTGATTTTAGAGTTAGTTTGGATGGAAAATATCACGTGCGTAGCACGTGACTACGCTGAATAACCATAATTTTGTTTCCCTCTCATTTCATACGTATTTCACAGCTTAAAAGACTCTAGTTTCCCAAATCTGAGCAAAAATCCCAAAACCCCAGTACCTAGAATACCTAAATTCTTCTTACAAACGACTTTCCTCGTGTGTATAAAGCAAAGTTTCAATTAACATGATATCCAAAGTTCCCCATCTTCGTTCGTGCTTGTTGTAGCTTTTGTATGTTAAATGAGGGATTTTGAAGATTGTTGAAGAAAATTGGCAAAAGAATTGCATCGTCGTTGGAATTTACTCCAAATTACGGTATGTGTTTGCATTCTTTTCATGAAATCGTTGGCTTGTTTATTTGGTAGGAAGTATACTTATTATTGTATAATTTGTATTACTATTTTTAATATATGAATTTAGGAGCAATGGGCGAAGACTCTTGTTTTTCAATGAAATTCAAATACGTTGGAATTATGAAACATACTCGAAAAAAAGAGTACGTAGGATGTTCAATAGAGTATTTTGACTTTGTTGATATTGATAAAATTGGTATGGCTGATTAATGGAATTTTGCAAGACAGATAAATTTTGGCTTAAAGTTGATGCGAATTTGGCCAGGTGTAAGCGCATTGAAACATCTAATGATGTGTTTGGCATTAGCAAATACATTTCAAAACACTAGAGGTTGACATACTAGTTAAACATCTGAATTTGGGAGGGGATGTGGGTGCAAACATAGTGGCGAATCCAGAATTATTGTCAGGGGTGTTCAAAATTGTATAGAATAATACGATTTGCAAATGTTAGGAGAACTTTGGAAATAGTTAAAGAGAAAAAAGAAGTGATTTGCAAATTTTATGAGAATTTTGGAAATATTTTAAGAGAAAAGAATGAAAAATGTTAAGCAATTTGCACTTTTCAATTTAACCCTTGCATTTTTTTCTTTTGAAATATTAAAAAGCACCCATATTATATACTCGGGATCGACAACTGTATGAAGAAACTCTTTACCACCTCAATCACTAGCAATTTCAGTTAACTAATGTACAACAGTACAATTTGTTTTCAAAATCAAGGGTGTGCAACTGCACACCCTAGACCATAGCCAGATTCACCACTGGGCGAAGGTGAAGGAATGTTAATCAATAAATAAGTTATCATTGATGAGTTTGGGATTCGAAGCGGTAGGAATGAGGATGAGAATCAAAGTGGTGAAAATGAGGATGGATTTAGTGATGATGATTCAATGTTCAATGAATTAAAATATGATATGTTAGATAATGTATTGTTTGACACTTATGTAGACCCAAAAGTTAGATAATGGCTTTGATGAGGATGAGAATAAATATGCATGAAGTGATGATATGACTTTGTTAGTTTATATGGCAATGGTGATTAAGAAGTAGGGTAAAATATCACAAATTCAACCTAGAACTGCAATTAAGAAACATATACTTAAATGGGCATGATTTATATTGGAGAATGTGACCAGCAATTCAATTTGTAGTTGATGTCTTTCCATTCGTATTCGTAAAACAATCTATTTTGTAATTATTGAAAGTTTAATTTTGGCATGCTATATTTACTTTTCCATTTATTTATGCATATATATAGACCTTATAGTTACATTAAAGTGGTTTTTATGCATAAGTATTTGATCAACCATCTTTATTATTCTAGGTTTAGGGATTATATCTCGTTCGCTAATAAGTCCATCCATTTAATATGCATTATAAATAAATACAAAATTAATGTATGTGACAAATTACCCCCAACCCTTTAAACCCAATTCATAATTGTAACCTCACAATTTAACTTCAATTTCATCAATTTTGACCACAATAATTCAATTTTGACTTTTTTCTTTTTAAAATTTTTTTTTCTATTTTTATGCCGCTGGTTCCGGAGTTGACCGGCGGTCTCCGACATTAACCTTTTTTTTTTCCGCTAAAATTTGTATCCGTTTTTTTAAGCCTATCGCTGAACTTATTTGTGCAAGATTTTTGTAAGATAGGAGAATTTGGTGCATGTCTTTTGCAACATAAGAGAATTATGCAAAATTATCCATTTAAAACTAAAATTATTTAATGGGGTCATTAAAAATAAGCCCATCAATGGGTACTTATTCATAGAGAGATCCAGACAAACAACTCATTTACCAATAAGTTCACACATGGTCCAGATTTTTGTAAAGGACTAAAATAACCCCTCATACTTTAATATGCTCCAATTTCATCCTCAACTTAATTTAAGCTCAATTTGACCCCAAATTTCACAAATTATTCATTTTTGACCCAAAACTTTTTTTTTTCAAAATTTTTTTCCCCGCCGGTCTCCGGCGTTGACTTTTCAATTTTTTTTCTTTCGGATTTTTCGTCGGTCTCCAGCGTTGACTTTTTCGATTTTTTTTCTTTTCTTTTCTTTCTTTCTGTAACTTTTTTTTTCGTTTAAACAACAATATTGATATGATTGACAGTAATATTAACTATATTACTGTTAAACACAGTAAAATTAACTAAACTACAGTTTAACACAGTAATATTGCGATATTAATCTTTAACACAGTAATATTAACACAACAAAACTCATTATTATTGTGTAATAGAGTAATATTACTATGTTGATCGTTCAACAAATGTAAACATAATAAAAAGCCAAAAGAATTAATATTATTGTGAGTGACAGTAATATTACTATAACAACAGTAATATTACCGTCAACCACAGTAATATTACAATAATAGACAGTAATATTATTACGTTACTCCGTGAATAACTCAAACAAAAAAAAAATCCAAACAAAATAATAATATTGATGTGGTTGACAACAATATTACTATAACAACAGTAATATTACCGTCAACAACAGTAATATTATTGTGTTCACAGTAATATTACAATAATAGACATCAATATTATTACGTAACTCCGTGAATAACTCAAACAAAATAAAAAATCCAAAAAAATAATAATATTGATGTTGTTGACAGTAATATTATTGTGTTTACAGTTATTTTACTGTCAACGACAGTAATATAATTACGTTGACTTGTCAACAAATCAAATAAAATAAAAAAAATAACAAAAATAAAAAATAATAATATCACGTTAATTTACTGTCAACCGCAGAAGAATTACATAAATGTATTGTCAACGGCAGTACAATTACGTTAATTAACTGTCATTGACAGTATAATTACGTTAATTTACTGTTAGTGATAGCACAAATACGGTCAACGTTTAGCGGCGGACGTAAAAAAAAACCAAAAAAAAACACTAAGAAAAGTCAACGCCGGAGACCGCCGGAAACCGACGAAAAAATTTGGAAGAAAAGAAAAAAAAATCAACGCCAGAAACCGGCGAAAAAATCCGAAAGAAAGAAAGAAAAAAGATTTTGAGAAGTTTACGCCGGAATCCGGTGGCAAAAATATTTTTTTTGAAAAAAAAAATTTGGGTCAAAATTAAATAAATTTAAGGTCAAATTGAGATTAAATTAAGTTAAGGATGAAATTGGAGCATATTAAAGTATGCTCCAATATTGAAAAGTCAATGCCGGAGACCGGCGGCAAAATTTTTTTTTTTTGAAAAAAAGAAGTTAAAATTAAATTTTTGTGGTCAAAATTGGATTTTTGTGGACAAAATTGATTAAATTGGGGTTACAATTAAGAATTGGGTATAAATGGTTGAGGGTAATATTGGCATATACATGAATGTTACTTTATTTATAATAAATATTAAAGGGATGGACTTATTGGTGAATGACATATAGCCTCTAAACCTATAATAATAAAGATGTTTGGTTGGGAATTTATGCACAAAAACCCCTTATTTAATCAACATTAAACGAATAAATTTGTTAATTTACATTATGAAATAAACAAATAATAACAATAGAGATGCGAATTGGAACCCATTTTCAAATTATTTATATTATTTTTACATAGGGTGAAATACACTTTGCACTCCTACGTGCAACTTATGTAACACTTATCCCTAAAGTATCATTTATAATAATTATCTCTCCCAACATCAATTATTTTTTATTTTAAAATTTAAAACATAATAAACATAAAAATCTAATAATTATTAGTTCATATAAAATTGAAAAGTAACTAAAATTAAATTATTGGAAACGAATTAAAAAGTAATATATATTGTATAATAATGATACAAATTTATTTTAAGAAATAATGAACTAAAATAAATTTAAATACTTAAGATTATTATTAATTGTGTATTGATTTCTTAAAATTTATCGACATGAATATATTCGATTAATTTGTCCAACAACAATCAGATGTTATTTATTAAATATGTACCCAACGCAAGATAATATTTTTTAAGTTTTAAAATCTTGCATTTTTCAACAAATATTTTTAGTTGTATCATTTAATTATTCTTTTAGTTATTTATTTCAATATAAGAGAAAATTATAAGGTATTAAAATTTAAAATACAAATTAAATTGTCGCTGAGG